AGTTAGTTAGTTAGTTACGTTAGTTAGTACGTAGTTACGTTAGTTACGTACGTACGTACGTACGTACGGTACGGTAGGTAGGTAGGTAGTAGAGTAGAGAGAGAGAGAGAGAGAGAGAGAGAGAGAGAGAGAGAGAGGCTGTTGTTGTTGAACTAAAGAAAACTGATTCTGGAAATGTGCAGGTGGCTTTGAAGTTGGTTCCTGATAGGAAAACCTTTCTCAAAACAATAACAGAAGATGGAGAGGACAATGATGCAGTTAAAGAGAAACTGAAGAACTTGGTTTCATCCCTCACACCCTTCCTGGAAGAGATCCATGCTTTTCTGGTCAGTGTTTGTGCTTCACATTCGCATTGTTCTACATTTTATTCCTGATTTTAGTTTCTTTTAACGTGGTTTTTCTACTTGCTTTTGTTGCAGACAACGTTACGTTTAAACAGGTTAAAATCTCCATAAAGAAAAACTACAAGAATGAGCTCACCTGTGATTATGGGTCTCTTTGTACAGCCTCTCTCTCTCTCTCTCTCTCACCTGTGATAATGGATCTCTTTGTACAGCCTCTCTCTCTCTCTCTCTCTCATATCATAGGCAATACCATGTACAGTTTATTAAGTTTCAGTCATATATGTACGGTAATATGGTTAGCAATGTACAGAAATGTAAAAATTTTCAAACTAGGTGCATGTTTTGATCCCAACCAAGAGATTGCATACACAGTTTTGATCCTTTAAAATTGTTCTTTTCATACTTGTTTTAAATTTTATCATGTGTTCGGAAATCTTGCATCATGTAGAATTAAGAGTTTAACACTAACAAGCTTAAACCTGCCATAGCTATCATAGTTTAATGGTTCGAGTTCTGAATTTTCAGACTACGTAGACTAAGTAGTAGATCATAATATGGCTGTTTTTAGTTATGCTTATAAAGTTTAACAAAAATAAAAATAAAAAAAATTCAACATACATCTCGATATTTTGTTGACTTCATCGAAAAAATAAATTTTTAGCAAACTTATGAAAAGGAATGTATGGTATCTGATGCAGGAAGGTGGAAAAAGAAAATTATGAGATTTGAGACAAAAGAGAAAAATGAGATTTGAATATTCTCTCTGGTGATGTGAATTTCACCTTTCTTTATTGCAAAAAGAATAATGCAGCCACTCCTCGTAAGAGAACATTAACCTCCTCATGTAGTTTCCCTAAAGCAAAAATACCAAAAAGAACTTTCCACAATCAACTTCTCACATAGATCTATCTGTTGTTGTTTATCTTTTTTCTTTTTTTCTTTTTTGAAATTTTCTTTTTTGTTCTTTTTATATATGAAAGCACCAATAATAAACCTAACTTATATATCTAAGGCGCGGAACAATGATTAGAATTAAGGGGAATGCTTTAACATAGCACCTCTCTCTCTCTGTCTCTCTCACTGTGCCTTTGGGGGTGGGCTGGTGGAAATTGAACTTTTAGTTACATAGGCTCCACCATCTTCCAAGTAATCATACAATATCTCCCTAAATCCCCATCTGAGGTGGAATCTGCAAACGTAAAAAGATACATTTATGCCTAAAGCCAATATAAGAAGGAAAACGTTTATATAAGGGCGAGGCCCTAAACAATCAAAGTACGGCATACCTCAAAGATTCACTACAAGAGGTTGTTTTGATGCCCAAAAATCTTGAAATCGATCATCTCTACCTCAAGATGTAGGAACATGAAAAAAAATGAATTTCAAGTATTGGAAATAGTGCATCTCATAATACATTTTCTAGACAATCAATTTTCAAGATTTTCAAGTGTTCATAGATCTGCTTGATAAAAATAAATTTTTAGGCCATTACACAGACTTTCAGATCTTAAACAACACCTTTCGATACTATTTGAAGGTGTGCCGTACGTTGATTTGTTTAGGGCATCAGCCTTATACAAACCACACTCATATATGAATAGGAATGAATTAAGAAACGTAGCATTACTTCACTTGTTTTTTCGTACGTATTATACCACTAATTACTCATGAGCAAAAACTCTCATGGAACTCACATGGATAAAGAATGCCTTATAATACCTCCCTCATCTATCTGTTATGTACTCTCATGGGGCCAATCAAGTAAGCATCAGGAGAAGCCTTTAGCATGCGTAACAGGGAGGCCTCTGTCTTAGTGGTGAAGAGCCCAAATATGATGGCTTGATGATGGCATCCTCGGACATTACATTAAGTTTACTATCCTCATGATGAAATTTCACTCACATAATATTGTAGATTAGTAACCTAAAGCCATCATAGGAGAAGATAAGAGGAGCGGTTGTATGAGGTTTTATGACTTTTATCATGTTGAAGATGAGAAACACTTCCAGTTATGAAAAAAGAATGTTTCAAGTTGATCATTACAAATTTAAGTCTTCTATATGTTTCACATATCAAAGATTACCTCAAGGTATTATAAAGTTCCTTAACGACCACAGGATCCAGCCCAAATCAAGGTTGCCACCATAGCATGACAAAGAGAATGATGATGCATCCACTCTCTCACATGAGAGAGATATGAAATGTTCTTTTCAACAATATGGTTTTGAAACATCATTGACACATATGGTAAGAGTGCATAATGGAAAGCCTGCAATCCCACTCAAAAGGCTAGATAAAAAGTGAAAAAAGAATACAGCAAGTACAGATATAAGAGTACATATAGCAATGCCAATATATTCTCCTAACACGCAGAACATCATGCATCAGATTTACAAAATAAAATACTGCAAAAGCATCTTGTTTAGCTCCAGGACTCTTTACACGAAAGGAACCATGCAAAGAATGAAGCTACCTTGAGCTGATTAGTAGATAAAAAAGCTCTGATACCATGCACTGGAGCCCCAATGGGAAACCAAAAATCAAGTTCTGCACCAAAACTATAATGTCAGTACAAGAAGAATACCAATGTAATACTGTCACACCCCAAGAATTTACAATACTGATATTCTTGAGATGTGACAGTCAAATACATCCCTTTTTAGGACAAATTTACAATGGCGAATTCTTACAAAGTAACAAAAGAAAGTTTAAACACAACTACAATATCTTCTAGAGTTAATCTTGACGAGCATTCAAACTGAAACCGCAGTTATCCTGAAAAAAAATATTTACCATAATTTGATAAGTTTAGCTACTCAGTAAGTGATCATCATAATCCAAAAAATAATCATGGTTGAAAGATATCAATATTTTCAAAAAGGAGATCTATTAACATAAATGCATTAACAGTTTCACTTTCAAAAATGCATAATTAAGTATAATCCGAATAATTAAAATGCATAAAACATTTTAACGGCAGTGCATAATTCAAAGGATTTCACAAATTACCCTACTGGCGTCCCAAGTAGGTCACCTATATACCCCATCAGCGTCTTGATGGGTCCACTTAATCCCTGCAGGTCCACTTATACCTCATCGGCATACCGCATGAGTCCACTTAATCCCTACTGGCATACCGGATAGGTCCACTTATACCTCACCGGCAAACCGGATGATTCCACTTGCATACTTAAAGTATTTTTAAATCTCTTTAAACATTTGAAAGCAACAATATCATGTACTCAACATATCACTAAAATTATTAATATGAATTTCACTGAAATCATTAATAACAGTCACTTTCAATAACATTTCAAAAATAACCGGGCAAATATTTTGGGCTCAAATTTAGAAAGGTAGCAGTTCGTAAAGACATTCTAGCATAATTGCCAATCAAATATGTATAGAAAAACTCTTATAGAAATTCAAGAATACGGAATTATCACAATTTATAGGATGTCAATTCGTAAATAAACATTTCACAGATAATACTATCATCAATTGCAAAAATATCAGTTTTCAAATAATAAGGCAGTCATTTGCACATGAAATTTACAATGTCTAAATATTAAAAACCAGTAGCAAGAAATCTCACAATTTTACTAAAAGCAGAAATATCACATTTATTTCTAATAATTTTACAGTATCTACAATTTTCTAACAATAGACGAGAAAAATAAATAAATTTATTTCTAAGAATTTACAGCATTTAAAATTTCTAACATAGATAAATTATCACAATTTTATTAAAAATATTATTTTTCAAAATAATGAGGTCGCTTGCGCATAAAATTTATCGCGCCAAAAATTCATGATAATAAACAGAAGTAATTATTTCATTTTATTTTTAAAAAGAACGGATTATTTTTCAAGATAATGAAGTCACTTACCTATAATATTTGAGTGCTTGAGTGGGACTTTAAGTAAAATTTGGCTAGAGAGAGAAAGAGCTCACTGCGTTTCGACTAGAGAGAGAAAGATCTCAGTGTATTGGGAGAGCTTATACAAAAGTTTTCTAGGATGGGAGTCCTCACCTATCCACCTCATACATGAGGTGACAATAATATTATACATGAAACATTTAAGGCCCACATCAACTAAAGGACGTGGTATATGAAAGGAAAATATCAACAAAAGTGGTGATGGTCCCTAAGGACCATAATACTTATATGGACCATCACACTATAAAGAATTATTTATTTATTTATTTTGAAAGTTTAGGATTGTTACAAATACAGACCATTATTAGCTATTCCATATTAAGTCCAACATCAACGTATAGAAATTGACAATCATCATAGACCATGCCATCAACTTGGCTTCCTTTATTAATGAAGGTATGAGTGTGATCCTTTACAAGTAAATTTTTGTTAGCACCAACCTGCAACAAGAAAAAGACACCTAACCACCAATAATATGACAATCAACTGATAGCACCATAATAATAATAGGAGGAACTGCCAAAAAAGCACATGTTTTGGGGCAAAATGACAAAACCAAGATCATTATATGCATGGCAACCCAAAGAATCCAATTTCCAAAAGTAATAAAATTTCCTTAAAGTTTTACCAAGAAACAACCTTTGCTTTATCTACTGGAACTGACACCAACTTGCAAAACTCCAACTGTGCCTTGTTGGTGAGCTACATGGAAATTGGACTTTTAGTATGGTTGTAGGATAAATCAATATTTACAAATCCTTGCTGTAATCATCACCAGTAATTCCCACAAGAACATTCACCATCAATAAAATGATGAAATCGATTAGCATCTCGAACGATAATCTCTCTGTTAACAATCCTCGACACATACTTAGTCCATGTGTGACAATCCCCACAAACCCGAAGGTTCTTTGTGATTCGAATTATGTTTCCAATAGGTGTGCTTATAAGCCCAAATCCGATGGCCAACCTCTCACTATGACCCCCAAGCATCTTCACCTTCACATCCTCTTCAACATTATGCAACACCGAGCTTGTATCCGGAACATAACCACATTGCTCCAATTCTAGAGAAAGAAAGCCCAATACCCTCTCTATTTCAATATAAAAAGGGTGGGTCTTATCTCCTGCTAAAAACCCATGGACCCTGTTACCAATTTCTATGAGACAAAAACCTGGTGTCTTGCTTAACCCCCTCTCTCTCATCAAACTTCTCACCTTTTCAACATCTCCCCATCTCCCAGCTCCGGCATAAATGTTTGATAAAAGCACATAAATTCCGGCATTTTGGGGGTCCAAATAGAGTAATCTCTCTGCTATTCGAATGCCCATTTCAGTTCTTTTATAAGTTCTACAAGCACTGAGCATGGCTTCTAAAACAATGGGTTCTGGTTCAAAGGGCATAGTGTCTATCGTGGTTTTAGCTTTCTCAATAAAGCCTGCTCGACCAAGAATATCAACCATACATGCATAATGCTTCTGGTTAGGAGAGATGTTATGGTCTTTGGTCATTGATTTGAAATAATAATTCCCCTGTTCAACTAATCCACCATGGCTACAAGCTGATAGAAGTGAAATGAATGTAGTTTCATTGGGCTTCAATCCTCTCTCTAACATCTGCTCATAAATTTTGATAGCATTGTGTGCCAAGCCATGCATCCCATAGCCGATGATCATTGCATTCCACAAAATCACATCTCCGGAGTGTGAACCAGTGAATGATCTCTCATTAAAAACCCTAGAGAGAGAACCATCAAGCAATAGTTCAGTACTGCCTTTATAGAGGGATCCATCTAATAAGGGGCCAGAACTTTCCCTGGAGAGGGAACTGGCAAATGAATGGCTAGAATGGTCTCTAGAGTGAGATACATTGAATCTCGCAGCACAAGCACAAGCTCTATAGAGAGGAGCATCATATGATCTTTCAACATTGTTCCTAGGGAGTGAAGGATCACCAGAGTGAGATTTATTAACATCTATGGAGAAATAGTCATCAAATAACCTCCTTGCATGGCATATTTTCCCACATTTCGCATACATGTATATGAGTGCAGTAAGATCGACCACCTCCAATTCAAACCCGTGACTAATCATATAACCATGGATGCTTCTCCCTTGGAGAAGTGACCCTAAATGAGAACAAGCATGGAGCAAGCTAACAATGGTGAACTTATTTGGTTCCAACCCCTCAGATTGCATCAAACCAAAGATTTGAAAAGCTTCCATCGCAAAACCATTCTGAGCATAGCCAGCAACCATGGCGGTCCAAGATATCAAATTTTTATCAGGCATTCTATCAAAAACACATCGAGAAGCTTCTAAGCCTCCACACTTTGCATACATATCAACCATGGCTGTACCCACAACCAAATTACAATAGATTCCTCTTCGAATTATCAAACAATGGATGCTCTTCCCATGGTTCAAGCCTGAAATCATTGAACAAGCAAGAAGTAGGCTCACCAGAGTTGCAGATTCAAATCCAACATTGGCATCCAACATTACCTGAAAGAGAGACAAGGCTTCAATTGCCAAGCCATTTTGAGCATAACCAGAAATCATGGCATTCCAAGAGACCAAATTCTTGTTACCAATCCTATCGAAAACCAGTCGAGCTGTATAGATTTCTCCCAGCTTACTGTACATATCAACCGTGCATGTCATCACAAGAACATCGTTACACATTTGGTTTGAAACTACATGACCGTGAATGCATGACCCGAGCTTCGAGCTTTGGTAAATAGTACAGGCTCGAACCAGGTTGGTTATAGTGACAGGACTAGGCTTAATTCCAGTCCTTCGCATCTCTCTAAATAATTGAAATGCTTCATAGAGATCACCCACTTGAACATACCCATTAATCATAGAGTTCCAGCATGCTACATCTCTTTCTCTCTCCAGAATTTGATCAAAAACCACTCGTGCTTTGTCGATTTTACCAAATTTCACGAAGAAGTTGATAATGGTGCTCCCAAAAAAACCATATTTATCGAACCCATGATCGATGCCATCACGGATGATAGAAAAACCATTTTTTATATCAGACAAGCTAGTGCAAGCCTTGAGTGCTACTGTACATGTCAAGCTGTCAACCCCAAAACCTTCAGACTTCATAAGAGAGTACAAATCCAGAGTTTTGGAGTGAGAAGTATTTCTAGAATAAGCAGAAATGATGGCTTTCCATGAATTGAAATTTCTTTCAAGAATTCCATCAAACACCTTCTGTGCACCAGGCAAATAGCCCGTCTCAGAGTAACCTTTGATAATTTTGGTTGCAAAAAATGGGTTTTGGGACAGGCCCACTATGACTAATTGGGCATGTAAAAGTTTAATGGAGGCAAAAGAGTGAGGAGAGTGTTGTAAGAGAGAAAGTATGATTTGGGTCCTAGGGAGAGTTGTTGAAAAGGGCATGAGGGAGAAACAATTGACTTAGTGCCATATCATATGTGAGGAAGATACAATTTTTTTGGGTAGTTAGGGAGTGAGATTAATTCAGTGAAAAAGCTGCAAAAGTGCAGCTCTTTTAGCATCATAGAAGCATATCTGTTGTCATGTTCAAGGATAGAAGCCCAACAATTGGATTTTAATTCCAATGAGATCTGAAGCTACATTTGCAAAGGGGAAAGACAAACAAATCTTGCAAATGCTTATTTTTGTCTGTTTTGGTGTAATGGAAGTGGTGGGCATATTTAATTATTTTGAGGCCAATTTCCTTTCTACCTCTCTTAAAAATTAATTTAATTCTTTTGAGGCGAGTTTAGCCCTCTCTAAAATTAATTTAAGGGTGTTGGTTCTATAAGGTTCGGGCTTTCGATTTCCTTTCTGCCCCTCTCTAAAATCAATTTATTTTTTTAAGGCAAATTCCCTTTTTTCCGCTCTCTAGTATTAATTTTGGGAAAATTTTCGTACAGATCTCTAATTCCCCATCGTATTTCACGGTAGGCCATCTTTCTATTTTTCTTTCAATCGGCATAAAAAACCCTAAAGTATTTTACCGTACCCCATCATCTCTTCTCTCTATAAATCAAATCTCTTTCTAAAAACCCATTTTCTCTCAGGAAACCCAATCTCTTTTCGCTCTCTAAAAACTCATTTTCTCTCTAGAAACCCAATCTCTCCTCTTAAAAATCCAATATCTCTTTCTTTCTCTAAAAACTCATTTTATCTCTAGAAATCCAGTATCTCTTTTTTTCTAAAAACCAAGCCTCTCTCTCTGAAAACCCAATATCTCATTCTCTTAAAAAACCCATTATTTCTTTCTATCTCTAAAAACCCATTATATCTCAATAAATTCAATCAATCAATCAATCAATCTCTCTCTCTCTCTCTCTAAACCCATTCTAGCTCTTTCTAGAAACCCAATCTCGCTTTTTATCCATAAAAACTCATTTTTTTCTCTCTCTAGCAACCCTATCTCTCTTTTTTTAAAAACTCATTCTCTCCTTAGAATCTCAATCTCTCTATTTCTAAAAACTTAGTTTCTTTCTAAAAACCCAATATTTCTCTATTTCTTTAAAAATTCAATCTCTCTTTAAAAACTCAATATCTCTTTCCATCTCTAAAAACCCAATCTCTCTTTGTTTCTCTAAAATTCATTCTTTATCTTTCTCTAGAAATCCAATCTCTATTTATCTATCTAAAAAAACAATATCTCTTGTTATCTCTAAGAATTCAATCTCGTTTAGTCTAAAAACCCAATCTCTCATTCTCTCTCTAAAAACACAATTTCTCTTTCTATCTTTGAAAAACCATTATCTCACTCAAAAAACATCTCTATCTAAAACCCATTATTCTTTCTCTCTCATGAAACCAATATTTTTTTTCTCTCTAAAAATATATTTAGCATGTTTTTATTTTTTGGCTTATTATAAACAAGAAAAGTTTAAAGAGTGAGATTAAAAAAATAATAAAAAAAAAAAGGGAAAAAAAATGGGGGGCTTCTTAATGGGCCGACCCCACGCTGGCCCAGCCCAATATGGTATTTACAGGACGGACCATTCCAGGCACAATTTCGGGCTGGGTCGGATCAGTTCTGAGCTTTACCGGGCCTCAGCCCATTGGCAGCCCAAATGCTAATGAAATGGTTATATTTTAGATGGATTGGTGTACCGAATATGTTAAATTCTGAATTTTGAGATCCTAACAATACTTCTAAATAGGAATTTGCCCAAGGAGGCACATTTTTATATGCCTTGGACGCTGATAGTAGGCATCCTAGCCCAAAAAAAAGTACCAATGTGGGGTGCTCTCTCTCTCTCTCTCTATAAATGAAAACCCCATACTTCTATCTCAACATTTGTGCTCTTCTTTCCAAGTCCTGAGGGAACTCTCTCTCTCTCTCTACATATATGCTCCTCTTTTGAAGTCCTGAGAAAAATTTATATCTATTCTCTAGATAGAACCATGGCGGTTAGCAGGTTCAACGAAAGAAGCCCAACAATTGGATTTTAATTGCAATGAGATTTGAGGCTAAATTTGCAGGGGAGAGGCCATAAACAAATCTTGTGAACACTTTTTTTTTTGTGTTTTGGTGTAATGGAAGTAGTGGTCTAAGAGATGGCCAAAGAATAAAAGTAGATGGTGGACCACTGGAATATTTGTAGTGCCACATCTGAAGTTTCAAATAGATAGTAGTTTTTTATAATGCTTGTCTTTGACATAAACGAATGTCTCTTCGGAGACATCCGATAAAATTGGAACGATACAGAGAAGATTAGCATGGCCCCTGCGCAAGGATGACACGCACAAATCGAGAAATGGTCCAAATTTTTTTTACTTTTTTCGGTAGATTTAATTATTTTGAGGCCAATTTCCTTTCTATCCCTCTTTGAAATTAATTTAATTCTTTTGAGGCAAGTTTAGCCCTTATAGGCCAATTTCCTTTTTATCCCTCTTTGAACTTAATTTAATTCTTTCGAGGCAAGTTTAGCCCTCATGAAGGTTCTATAAGGTCTGGGCTTTGGATTTCCTTTCTGCCCCTATCTTAAATCAATTTATTTTTTTGAGGCAAATATCTTTTTCTTCCCCTCTCTAGAAATAATTTTATTCTTTTTTAAACATTTCGTGTCTACCACTCTCTAAATTTAATTTAAATTTTGTTAGGGCAATTTCCTTTTACCCCTCTTGAAAGTTAATTTAATTATTTTGAGGCGAGTCTAACCCTTTCTAAAATTAATTTAAGGATGTAGTTCTATAAGGTATGGGATTTTTTAAAACAAAGTAAAGTCTGACATCGAGTCTTTCAGAAAGCACTATGGATATCGAAATCGTCATGATGGCTCTAAAATCAATTTTTTACACTAACGGTGAAATTTGAAGTTCAAAAAATAATATAGGTTTATGAATAGTTGTTTTTTGAAGCGAAATAGATGTTCTAGATAATGTGTTATAATATACACTATTTTTAAGCTTTGGTATTTTTTTTTTTTTTTTTTCACAACCGTAATGGTCAAAACCGAGATATTCGCTTTGAGGCTTTGACAGTTTATTTTGATTTTATTGTTTTCTTCACTCATCAAACTTTTTTTATTCATAGTAAGTAAAAAAACTAAAAAAAAATAGATACTAAAATATTTTTTTAAAAATTAAAACCTCTTAATGGTTTCCTCTCTAAAAACCCATTCTCTCTCTCCAAAAGCCTATTATCTCTCTTCAGAAACCAAATCTATATCTAAAAACCCATTCTCTCTCTAAAAGCCTAATCTCTCTTCGCTCTCTAAAACCACATTCTCTCTCTCTAGAAACCCAATCTCTCTCCCTACAAACCCAATCTCTCTCCCTACAAACCCAATATCTCTTTTGAAACCCAATATCGCTCTCTCTAAAAACTTAGTCTCTCTTTAGAAACCCAATATCGCTCTCTCTAAAAACCCATTCTCTCTTTCTATTTTTAAAAACACAATCTCTCTCTAAAATCATCCATTCTCTCTCTAAAAACCAATATTTCTTTCTCTCTCTAAAAATATTTAGCAAATATATATATATATATATATTGGCTTACTACAAACAAAAAAAGTTTGAAGAGTGAGATAAAAAAAAAGAAAAAAAGAAGGTTCTTAATGGGCCGGCCCAAATATGATCTTTTTGGGTCGGAGATTTTCGGGCACCATTTCGGGTCAGGCCGGATCAGTTATGAGCTTCAACATTTGGCCTCTCTAATGCTAATGAAATGATTATTTCTTAGATGAGATTTGAGATCCAAAAAATACTTCTAAATAAGAATTATGCCTCGGAGGCACATTTTTATATGCATCGGAGGCGATAGTATAAGTATTTTTAGTGCCACATCTAAAGTTTCAAATAAATGGTAGTACTATATAAGGCTTGTCTTTGACGGAGTTAAACGCTTTTTAAGGGGACATATGATACACATTAAATGATACAGTGAAGATTAACGGCCCGTGAGCAAGGGAAAGACACGCACAAATCGAAAAATGAAGTATTTATCATTATTATTATTATTTGGGCGGATTCCCTTTCTCCCTCCTCTAAAATCACTTTATTTTTTGTATTATTATTTGTGCGGATTCCCTTTCTCCCCCCTCTAAAATCACTTTATTTTTTGAAGGAAATTTTCCTTTCTGCCCCTCTGTAAAATTACGCCCCTCTAAAATCACTTTATTTTTTGAAGGCAAATTTCCTTTCTGCCCCTCTGTAAAATTAGTTTATTTCTTTTTGAAACATTTCCTGTCTACTCCTGTCTAAACTTAATTTAATTCTTTTGAGGCCAATTTCCCTTCTACCCCTCTTGAAAATTAATTTAATTATTTTGAGGCGAGTCTAACCCTCTAAAATTAATTTAAGGATGTAGGTTTTATTAGGTCTGGACTGCGGATTTCCTTTTCGCCCCTCTCTAAAATCAATTTATTTTCTTGAAGTAAATTTCCTTTTCTTCCCCTCTAAAAAATGAGTTTACTTCTTTTTGAAACATTTCTTGGCTATCTCTCTCTAAAATTTTAATTTAATCCATTTGAGGCCAATTTCCTTTCTACCCCTCTTAAAAGTTAATTCAATTATTTTATGGCGAGTCTAACCCTCTCCAAAATTATTTTACAGATGTAGGTTGTGTGGGATCCGGGCTTTATGAAAACAAAGTAAAGTTTAACCTCGAGTCTTTGGATAGCCTTTTGGGTATCGAAATCTTCATAAATTTCCAACACTGACTATAGAATTTGAAATTCAAAAAATAGTATAGATCTTGTGGATTCATGAACACTTATTTTTAGGGTGAAATAAACGGTCTTGATAAAGTGTTATAATATACACTAGATTTAGGCTTTGAGGTTTTTCCGACTCCAAAACGGCAATTTTCTATGAGTTTTGAGGTGAGGCTTATACTTATTTAATAGCGCCGCAACCCCATCAAAACATTTTCTTTAATTTGACAAATTCATGTCTACCACTCTAAAATTAAATTATTTTTTTTGAGACAAATTTCTTTTCCACCCTTTTCTAAAACTAATTTAATTCTTTTGAGGCGAGTCCATCAAGGGAGTAGATGAGCTGGACAGGTCGAATTGCCTACTTCTCATACATTCTATTTTTTACTTTTATTTTTATCATATTTTTTGTTTTATGGATTAATTCCCAACCATTCATTTTTTATATATAGATGTCACAATCATTTATACTCAGTAGATATCAAATTGGATGGGTTGGGGTAAGTCACGAAGTTCGATACATTTTTTTTGGAGTTTTGTGTCTATTCAATAATAATATTACAACCACCCATTTTAAAATTTAAGGGACAATAATGATTGTGACCTCTATGTACACAAGATAAATGATATCTTTGTAGATAATTCTATATAATATGCTTTTTGTATGCATAGTCTACGGGTTCACAGAGTGGCCATTCAATTGGCCAAGTTGCCATCTCAATAGAGAACCAAATGTTTTATGGAAAAAGTTTAATTAAAGTTGCAACCTTCTACTGTTGAAGTAAGGTGCACCTCAAAAAACCTATAGAAGAGAGTGTTTTGATGTTTGAAGACCCTCCAGTCGATCATCTTAATTTCAAGATGCATGGAGCATGGATATGAAGAAAAAACAAAGAAAATTCAAATCTTAAAGATAGTGCATATTGTAATGAGTTATCTAGACTGTATGTTTTCAAGATTTTTTAATATTTTTAGACTTGCTTGATCAATATCATGTTTTGAAATTTTACAATCTCTAATTAAGTTATGTTTTCAAGATTTTTTAATATTTTTAGACTTGCTTGATCAATATCATGTTTTGAAATTTTACAATCTCTAATTAAGTTTTAGAGGTGGACCTCACTTCTACAATATAAGGAGGGTACCTTGTACAAACCTCACCCAACATATATAACCATGACATATCAAACCGAATACAAAGTCCTCCATGAGATATGTAAAGTTCGGCCCTTCAAAATAAATTCTGGAATCCAGCTGACGATCACAATTGCTATGGTCGCATGGGCACTGTGTTTCAATTGATATTGGTTTCTTTCACCAAAGATTTGCTTTTTTTCGAAAAAAGTTTATATAAGGTGTCAATTTTATACTATTGAAATAAGGTGCGCCACAACAACAATCTCGAAGGGAGTGTTTCGATGTTGGAAAACTCTTCAATTTAATCATTTCAACTTCAAGATAAATAAATTTCAAGTCCTAAAATAGTTTGGACAGTTTATTTCCATAGTTTTAAAATGTTTATAAGTCTATTCAATTTGTAATATTTTTAAAATTTTAAGTTTTATAACTCAATATAAAAATAGATTTTCAACAATTATAAAGTTTTCGGCACTGAAACTACAAAACCAAACAAATTTTAGAGGTATGCCTTGTTCCTACCGGAGGGCACCTCATACGAACCTTTTCCTTTTAGGTTCGTTTGAAAAACTTTTCCCTCTCTCCAGCCTCAAATTGAAATTAACTACCGGTGGTTCCCCTAAAAACGAAAGAAAAAAGGAAATTTGATTAAAATGCACTTATCTTTAATTTGACAATTTATTTTTTTTCAACTATTCTGACTCATGGTCATGCGTATTATAATAAGTATTTTCATAATTAAATGAAAAGATACAAGTAGAATGTTAAATAATTGATATTTGACATGTATTTTGATAAATTTACCAAAAAATTAAGGGTGCGGTTTGTATAGAGTTGAGGCTCTAAATAGTTAAAATAAAGCATACCTTCAAGTACTGTCAAGAAATGTGATTTAAATATTGGAAATCTTTATGATAACCTTGAAATATATATTCATCTCTAGTTATAAAATTTAAAGCTTAAAAAACAGTGACGATAGAGCAGATCTATGAAACTTGGAAATCTTGAAAATTAACGGTCCAAAAAATGCATTACAAGATACACTATTTTCAAAACTTGAAATCCATTTTTTTCTCATGTCAATGTATCTGGAAGTCAAAATGATCAATTTGAGGATATTTCGACATCAAAACATGTTTTAGTGAAACTTTCGAGGTGTGCCCTAATTTGATTGTTTAGAGCCTCTCACTTATATGAATTTTTTTTAAAAATTAATAATCGATCCATCTACATACAATAACTACCATGATAAATGAGTTTATTACCCTTCATTAAATCAGTTGAAAAGTGATAAGGAGGAAATTGTAGAGTGCAATCATCATTATCATCATCATCATTATAGCCTTTTTCCAATCAATTGGGTCAGCTATATGAAACTTAGTTCGCCATTCTTCGTTATTAAAGGTCGTATCCTCGACGAGGCCATAAGCCCTCGTATCTCTCTGGACTACTTCCAACCATGTCTTTTTTGCCATATTTCATACCGTTTTCAATCATTATACTTGAACTAACTCATACTTTCTAATAGATGCAGTATTTAGTCAACGTTACACATAGCTAACCCACTTAAGTCTACTATGTCTCGTTTTATCGTTTATCAATATCACATCTAAATTCTCCCGAATAGATTCTTTTCAACTCTACCCTTCTTGTCTTGCCACTTATTAGTTTCAACGACCTCATCTCCGCTACACCCATTTTATGGGTTTATTTTTTTGTCCACCCAACATTCTGCTCCATAAAAGCAAAGCTGGTCTCACAACTGTTTTATAGAACTTGCTCTTTAATTTCATTAGTACGCAACGATCACATAAAATTCCAGTTGCACATCTCCATTTCGCCCACCCAGCTCTAATTATGTGTGCGATATATTCCTCAATATTTATATTGTCTTGGATTATCGACCTAAGAATTCGAAATGCGTCTTTTTTGTATTTCCTGGTCATTAATCTTAACTACTTCATCGTCTCTACTCCTATTATTACTTTATATACTTTGTCTTAATTTAACTAATTTTAAAACCTGTGGATTCTAGAACATCATTCGAAAGTTCTAACTTTATGTTGTTGTTTTGGGTCTGATCAATAAAAGACTATCATATGCGAAGAACATACACCATGAGACCTCTTCATGTAGGTGTATAGTTAAGTTGTTAATAACAAAAACAAAGAAGCACGAGCTCAATGCGACGTAGACATATTGTCATTGAAAACTTACTTATCTCTTCGGTGCTGATCTCTCCCCGAATCGATATTGTGTCTACTCACTTTTTTTTTTGAGACCAGCCAAACCATTAATTGAAATTCCAAAATAGAACCACATCCCCATCCCTCCACTCCATCCATCACCGTCATTACTCTGATTGGACGGCGATAGCGGCTGGGTTATGAAAAGTTCATGATCACATTGGATCATAGTACGCGGCCACAATATAAATACCCTGAAAATTCCTGGGTTTTGTATCATAACCGGAAAAGCAACGAACGCAACTGCGAAGCCACTGAATATCGCCGGAAATCACTAAAGTCGCCAGGAAACCATTAGAGCTTCAGAAGATGAGAGTCAAGAGGCAGAAGAAGAGCAGGAAGAGCTTGAGCTTTTTCAAGGCATGCTTTGGTTTCAGAGAGCCCTTCAAGATCCTTTGTGATGGCACTTTCCTTCATCTCCTTCACGCCCATGGCCTTGGAGACCCTAGCGTTGCTCTCTCTAACCTTCTTGGCACTCGCACCATACCTTCTGTCACAAGGTCCTTTCTCTCTCTACCTCTTGCTCTCTCAGTAAGTCTGTATTTTTCTGTGTATCTCTCTCTGTGTCTGTCTCTCTTCTCTATCTCTCCTCTTTTCCTTTCTGTGTGTCTCTCTGTCATGGCGATTTTATCTTTCTAGCTCTTTCTCTCTGCTCATAAGGTGTGTTTTTCTCCAATTTACGCTCTTCTATTTGTTTCATTTTGGATTTGTGTACTTTTTTTTTATATTGTTTTTATCATTACTTACTAAGTCTTCCTTTGTCCTACTAATTTTTTTCTCCTTTTCTCTTATATATTTTCTTTTTTGACATCTTTTAGAGTGAATGTTCTCTCTTGAATTGCTTTGAATGATGCTGTCTCTAACTTGTTTCTTCCCCATCAGAGTGATATTCTCTAACTTGATTTTTCTTTTTTCTAATCTATTGTCGTTCTTCAGATGCATCCTTGGAGAGCTAAAAAGACTTGGAAATGACTACTCTGATTCATTGCAGTCTGCTCGCAACCTTCCAGTCACCAGGTTGGCTTCTCACTCTAAGATTTATCATATTCTTTCTCCTTTTGTTAAATCTTTAGGTTTATATGCTTCAAAATTGCACTTTTCTGTAACTAAAAAGATCTGGAGCAATTACCCAAAAAAGATTTTGAGCAAGAACACTTATAACATTGTTTATGAAGTTTGAATGCACGATTTATATTTATAACTGTTGATATTACAGTCTGGTTGAGATTGCTGTATTTTGTGTAGATGTAACCATGAATTGATGCAGAGTGCTCGAAACTGCATAGAGGCGATTATCGGAAGCAATAATCTGGACCACTTTTTTGTGGCTACCCAGGATCCCTATATTCGCAAAAAATTTCAGCAGGTTTTGTAGGCATCACCTTAATCAGCCACTTCTGCCAAGTTGCTTCTCTCTCTCTCTCTCACACACACACACACACACACACACAATATATGTGTAAGTAAGATTGCAGTAATCTGTTCCCTCCATTTTATTTGGACTTCCACACTATCTTTAAAGACGTGCCATTTTGTTTATATTGCCTTGAAAGACGGTGTGGAACAATACAACCTTATTTCTACAAGTAAGGTTCTGCATTATACAAACCGCACCCGATACATATACATATGTATGCATGCGTGTGTGTGGGTGTGGGTGGGTGTGTACATGCGCACGTATGTGATTTTGTTAATAGTATTCTGTCTTTATGTTCTGGGAGTTCTGTAATTTTGAATGAGTACATCTTTCAGAATTCATTTTCTTTGTAAAGGTTTTTCACTTCTCATGGTTACTACTTCAGGTTTAACATCTGATTGTTTTGTTAGGATTCTTCTTATTTTTTGTTAGCTTTCTTCTGATAGTTATTACTGTGCTTCTGTACTTATCTTGAAATTGTGAAGATTGTATTGAAAGCTGTAAATATGCCTGAAGTCTGAATTTTGGAAGCCATTGTAGATCTGAGTTACATGAGGATTGTGTTCAAAGTATTCTATAACTCGAACTATTTGATATTCCAAAACTTACAAGCCACTAGGAAGCAATAGCATGACGAGTATTCCTTGTTTCTACTGTGAACAATTTAGATGAATGATTTTGTTGAGGGACTTAAACTTGATCAACTTGGTTCCTAAAGCTCCAAATATGAAGTTTATTGCATGAGTATCTAAAACTTGGAATACAGTAGAAACTAGAAACTCCTTATTAAGAAGTTTGGACTTCGAAGGATATTATGTTGGTGTATACCAAGGAATATCCAGGAACCTTTATGATTGGACATATCGAAATCATGCTTATGCATCAACTAGTGGCTCCACAAACCAATATGCAGCCCCCGGTGGAAGGTTAGACGGAATGTCCTTAATGGCTTGCCTAGGGCTGGGAAAGGACCTATGTTCCTCATGTCTTTCAACATAAAAAGGCAATCACTTGTAGCCAAAGGAAGACTGGTCTGTTGACCTTAATTGCAAGTGCAGCTTGAGAGAGGCCTGGGGTAAGCCCTCAAGTCGCGTCAGACTGAATACAAGTTACCTGAAAGTCCGGCTGACCGAGACTTCAGATCCGTAAAAAGCAAATCTGTTTTCTTTGTGTAGGACATAGTTTTCATTATTTGGTTTAAGAGGCAATCTTGAAGAGTTTGGACAACCAGCAATCTTAAAAAATTTTAGCTTTAGAGATTCTTCTTGATTGACAAAGTATATTTGATCACTAGAAACTTCAGAAGTCAATTTAGGGACTTAAGAAGCCTTTCCTGATTGAATTGGTAGGATAAACTGGCAGAGCGGGTTTAGGCATTGTAAAGTTTTGAGAGATGTTCCCAACTACTGGTCATACTAGCAGTTTTGATAAATGAGCAAAAAAAGTTATGCTCTCTGTAAGATGGAGTGCTCAAACCGTCTGTACCAGACTACTAGGCAGATGTAGACAAGCCTGAGTTAATTTCACCAGACAAGGTGACGTAAGTAGCCTTATCAAATTGCCTTTACCAAGTAAAATAGAAGTAGCTCATTAGTGCGCCATTTGGAAGTGCTAGTAATGCGTGCTCGCTAAAATGTAAGTTGATCAAAGCAATCCGAAACCACTAAGCTTGGCCTGACTTTTATTATTTCTCTCGCCTTGCGTACTTTGATCTTCTTATTAATAGAAGATTTCCTTTTATATCTAACTACTTTGGTTGTCTTCTTGGAGCCCAGTACAAGCCCACCTACTTACAATAAACAAGATAAATTCCTGTCCAAGTTTTTCATTGCTCCATTTTTAGTTCTCAAAAGTAAAGAAGATCTATGCCAATGGTGGGTGGTCCAGAATTGGTTGTGCTTTTGAGAAAAGAAGTCAATGATTACTAGTATGACAAGGGGCAGGATATGTTGGTTAGGTGTTAATTGCATGAAGCAAGGGAAGGCTTCATGTCTCTTGGGTGGAGCAAGGAGGACCATGTGTCCCTTGCATCCAGAATTGGCGGGGAAGGACAAGGACCTCCTAGAAGTTTAATAGCGATATGGTGAACTCACTTTATGAGCTTAAGGACTCAGGCCAAGGGGGGTTATATCTTGATATTTGCCCTGGAAACCCTTGTTCACCATAGTTGGTTAATCACTGGATAGAGAGGAAGTATTGCTAGGCTCTGCCTTGAACCTCCCTCTGTGGACTTGTGACCATAGAAGGATCCCGGGATTGTCCATCGACACATGGTGTCCGTTTCTTTCTTCAATCTTGAAAATATATTTAGTGCTGCTGTTTCACTGGTTGTATAAAATAGGGAACTTTAGCGAGCTGGTTCTTGACGATGGTACGTCGACTTGGAGTGATATTAAGTCTAGATGTACACAAAATTTCAGCTCAAAACTGTTTTGTGTTTTGTGAATGTTAATGTATAGGTGTTCTGCCCCTGTATATACACTGTATAATTGTTACTATTTTCAGACATCTCCTATGCTCTCTAAATTTCTCTCACATGCAGCATGCTATACGAGAGCTTCCATGAGTCTGAGAATTTACATCAAATAAGTGTTTCAAACCCCAGGCTATTTACGTGCTGTATTTTCTGCTATTCTTTTTAGACATCTCCTTTGCTCTCTAATTTTTTCTCACATGCCCCATGCTATACGAGAGATTCCATATGAGTCTGAGAATTTACATCAAATAATGGTTTCAAACCCCAGGTTATTTACGTGCTGTATTTTCTGAAACTGTTTAACACATCTTTTCTTTTGCATTAAAGGTTGTGTATGCTGACATTTAGCTTATGACACGCATGAATTTAATTTTGACTTACATGGATTTCGTGAAAATGTGCGCACTAGTTTTTTGTTTTTGGTGAACATAATAACATTATTCTTCCTAATGTGGCGGGTTAAAATTTATCTGTATTACACTGTTTTTGGTCAACCAGTAAATTTGTGTAATGCATGATATTTACTGGTAAAACCCCCACAGGGATTGGTAATAGAATAATAAAGTTTGCATCCTTTTAAATTTCTGGCACACTTTTATTGCAGCAGTTATACTCCTGCATTATTGTGTTTGCCAGAGTAAAGCACTTGGTGAGTTGCTCACAGATCTTACAGTTCTTATAAAAGTTTTGGAAGTTTCCCATGGAAGATATTTTTCAAGGCTTATAATTTGTTTCCATAAACATTCATAATGTTGATTCAGGAAGTCTCTAGATAAATCCTGGGCACCATGACATACTCAAAACAACTCAAGAGCAGCAAACATGCTTCATGGTGTAGGACTGATTTGTTAAAGCCCTTTAGAATCTATATCTGGCATGCATGTTTAGCAATGTCTTTCTCTTCATGACAAAAAAAGTCTTTTTATTTTTTGGAAAATTTTGAAGGAAATAAATAACATGATGGGCTTTATCGCTGGCACTTATGGTCATTGGGCCTCATGGTGGAGGATAAAAAAAAATCTTCTTATGATCTTTCATATCTTTGAGAACTTGTTCATATCCTTGTGACCATACTGAAACTCTGAGTTCATTAAGAAACAGAACCCAAGATCTACCTGAGATTTCTTGTATTTTGCGGTATTATTGAGATGCTTTGGATAGATGAGTTTTATATGAGATGCATTCGTGCTCAATGGACTACTCGTTTCTGAAAATCTGATACGGTATTTTACTCATTTCTGTAAATCTGATGTTGCTGTTATTGTATTTGTTCCAATGAGTACCATAGAAGTCCACTAGGAATACTCCGCACATAAGCAACCATTGAGAAAAAAGGGAATTCCATATAAGAAAGCTGGTTCTAGACTGCAGTGCTGGCGGATGGATTTAATTGAGTTTCATTGGAAGCAGTCAAATCCAAAACATTTATGATCTTCTGGAATTTGATTTCTGTTGACATTTTGACCCAGTAACTCTCTTTTCCATTTTGCTTTCTGGCTTAATAGCACATTCTTCTTTTCTTTGTATCTTGAGAAAAAGAAAATGCTCATTCTTTCATCTTTTAAATGCAGATACCTGGTGCTCCTGTCATATTTGGTCTTAGAAATACTTTATTCCTTGATCCACCGTCAGCATATCAGCGCCAGTTTGTAAAATCCAGTGAAGATGAGCGTTCGCACATGAATGAATGGGAACAGAAAATTGTTGGGAATAGTAAAAAACAGGATGTTGAAAAGGGGGTTGCAGTGTCTAATGATGCTGGGAAGGAAGTTTTGGTGGCCACCAAATCTAAAAACAATAGAAAAGGAATGTTAGATGTGAAAGACAAGGTTAGATTTAAAAGAAAGAAGGCAAAGGTTAGTTCAGCTACTCAGCAATTTCTTACTCAAAATAGGTTGCCTTTCATCTTTTTTCATCATCAATTTGAGCCTTTGATTCCTATGAATAGTAACAATTGAAATTTAGAATACTAAGTTTGCTAAATGGTGTGTATTGAGACAAACAGAGCCATATACCTGATGTGTTTACTGTACAAATACGAATGTAACTTGTTTTGACTTCTTGAGTGCAAATTCATTCATATGGGTCTCAGAACTACATCCTTTGTTGTTTATATAGATTCAGTTTACATTTTGATTGGCTTCCAAGCTTTCAGAATTCACGTGCCTATGAATAAATACCAGGCCTAGTGGTGTTAAACTGCATAAACTTGTAAGTTTGCAGTTGCACATCTCTGATAAGGACCAAGCTCAAGACTTTGCTGGCTCTATCTAGGCAGGGCATGAACTTGTTTTGACATTCTTGTGTAGCTTGGCTTCGATTCCCTGTATTTTGAACATGCCATTGTCACATCTCTTAGAAGGACCAAACTCAAGATGGATGGATCTTCTGGTCAAGGTCTGACATAAATGTTTCGTGATCCAAGTTGTTATTTCTCTACCATGCAGTAACCATCATCTCCTTGGAAGCCATAAACATGCACTGGGGATCCATTTTAGTAACTGTCACAAATTCAATATATGTGGGTTCGGCTGCATGTCTGTCAAAGAGAAGCAAGGGTTTTCTGGCGATTGTTTTCATGGACTGTCATTTTGGTATAGTTTAGAGGTGGTTTATTGTACTACAAAAACAACTTTTTCTCTAGAAAAGCTGATGGCTTGGGATGGTGTGTAACCTCTTTGAATGGCCTCAAGAGGGATGTAGAGTCTCGCTTGAGAGTACCCTCATAATTGGAACTCCCAAGATTGGTGGGGTTTGCGTACTCAATTATTTCCATGCAGTGTGTTCTGTTTGTTTGGGTATATGTAAGTTTGTGCAAGTGATTCCTCATAGGTCAAAGGAGAGTTTGGGATTTTGGGTCTCTGGTTGATGTTCTAAGAGTGGGCTTGGTTGATATTCTTCTTCCACATGGTATTTGTATAAACACAAGAGCATGCCAACCCTTGAGGAACGCATGTTGTCAGTTAAGTTAGTTCACTGGGATCTCCCAACAAAAGGGTTGATCCCTCTCCGGAAGCTTGCTCCTGCGCTCCAGGGAGGGGGATCTCGCTTGCTTTTTTTAAACTATGGGATCTCGATCCTTCTTATTAGGGATCGAGATCGTCAGCTACACAGGATCCATGTTCCTTTGCATCATATTGAGTGTTCATAGGTAAACTAAACCAAAGGTTCCATCAATATGGGATCAAGATCCCTTAGTGGTAGACTCTACCGTCCCTCTTGCCCTTTTTATTAGATCACGAGTTCGAACCTTGAGCCTCAATTTAATTCTAACTAACGACTATTTTGCATAATTTGGTCACAAGTTCAAACCTTGAACTTCAACTTAATGCCAAGTATACTGTAATATATTAGCTATATGGTTTGTTCACACACATAAATTCCGAGGGTGGTGGACTATACTTCCCCTTTTGGGCTTGTTAATAGGTCACGAGTTACCTTGAGCTTCAACTTAACACTTATCGTAATGCGCTTTATTTAATAAAGAAGGATGACCATGATTATTATTATGGTACATAAAGTCACAGAATGCACTCAAAAGAATGCAAAAATTTAAAAACTATGTAATGATTCATTTTTCTTAATTTTTTATAAAGTTTAAATTTGTTTAAAATATTTTATTACTCAATTAAAAGATAAATACACTCAAAGGAGTACAAAAATATTAAATTATTCTAGAATGAATGGTGTTAACATTTTGAATTTTTAAAAAATTCATATGGACTGTGGTCCTGACCTAAGGGGGCGTTTGATAACGGTGAATGGGTGGGAAAGTCCCCGACTTTCTCCTATACTGTAGCTTTCCTTAGTTTGGGAACAGTAAAAAGGTGGAAAGTCGGAGCGAACTTATTTCCCAAAATACTATTCCCCTTGGTAAAGTTGTGGGACATGGGTACCCTAGGTCTGCAACTTTCACGGAAAGTTAACGGGCAAGAAGCCCAAAGAAAACTGTGGCTCTCCTATTGCTCGTGTTGAAGCCCCCATTGTTCATTCCTCCCTGCTCGCACAAGCATAAGCCCCACCACCCTCAACCAGGTACACTCTTTCTCATCTGCTCTTTCTCTCTCTCATCTGCTATCTCAATCATCATAGAGACATGGGTTCCCCTTTTTTTTTTTTTTTTCTTTTTTTTGCTCCATCATGTTTTCTGATCTCTGGATCACCTGTATTCTGGGGTTTTGGGGGGAGAATCCCATGTGGGTTTTGGATCGAATGTGGGTTTGGATCGAAATTGGGTTTGTTTCTCTCTGATCCCCCATTTCCATTCCCATTCCCATTCCCATTTGGATCTACTTCGGATTAGCTTTGGATTAGGGTTTCTTGGATGTCTGATTATTGGTTTAAGTGTAAGTTACGTTTTTGATGACTTTAAGATGCTGATTTTCTTGTTTGTATTATTCTTTAACTGCGCCTTTTTGTTCCTCCTGGGTAATTTTGAGTGCCCTTTTCAGATTGACTCAGAATTTTGGTTTTTGATACTGGTATTTCTGGTTGGAGGTCAGCCAAGTGCTGCCTTCTAGAGTAGCTCAAACGTTTAGTTTTTCAAAGAAATATTTAGTAGGTCTTCTTTGCCACCGTCGTGTTAGTTTTCATGTTAAGTGGGTTTTGTTTTCTTATAGTTTCTGGTTTTTACGTTCTTTTGGAATTAGGGATTGGGGTTTTGAGGGTGGTGGTGGTGATGATGATGATGTAGTAGTTTTTGCGTATTGAGGTTTGCCTCTAATTATGTATCATATGATTGGAAATAGTGTATATATATTTTAGAACTGATAGGAGCTTGATGAATGTTTGGTACGAGACAACTGAGATTCAAATTGAATTTGAGCTGCTTTCGATGGTAAATGGGTGTTCATCAATTCTTTTGACTGGTTGTTGGATGGATGTGATTCATTGCATGATTTTCCCATTTTGGGCAAAGGTTCTTTGGTTTGGGTCGTTTACTTTTCTTGTTATATTCATAGGCCAGCAATGGACAATGTACTGCACACCATAAAAGTTTGTAATCTTACCATGTAAACCTCTAATTTTGAGCCTCTCTAGGTTCAACTCCTCTTATTTAGAAGAAGAACCTAACCATGTGATTTTATGAGCTTATGGATTTTCACTTCTTGTTTTTATCCATGGCAATCCAGGCACCATTCTTGGGTGGGAAACACAAGTAACAATTTGAAATACACATTTACTTGTAATAAAATTATGTGATACTTCTCTGAAGATTAAATTGCAATCTTAACCATGCACTGTAAGAAATGCATGAGATAGGTAGTGGCAAGAAAATCTTACAAAAAAATATACATTACATGCATCAAATTAGGGAAATACGTAATGAACGGTTAAAATAGGTTGTCTTGTGCTTTCCCAGCATCAACATTACCAAACAGAAGAAAGTAACTGCACCACAGTTTATCAAACGCCCTCTAAGGGAACCCTAGTTAACTGCACTTGAGGACCTCGATTTTTAATCAGATTGTTTGGTTCCTAGAAGTAGGGATTTAGCTCCCCAATATATTGGGATCTTTGATCTTGACATTTTGGAATGTATGGACGGTGACCAGAACCTGAGAGTCCATTCTAGTTTTAAGGGTGAGGCCCCAAACAATCAGATTAAGGCACACCTCAAAAATTCACTAGAAGAGGTTGTTTCGATCCTGAAAAATCCTCAAATATATCATGTTGACCTCAAGATGTATGGACATGAGAAAAAATAGATTTCAAGCCTTGAAATATTGCATGGAAAAAATAGATTTCAAGCCTTGAAATATTGCATCTTGTAGTGTATTATCAATACCGTCAATTTTGAAGATTTTCAAGTGTTCATAGATCTAATCAATCTACACTATTTTTTAACTTTAAATTTTATAATTAGATATGAAAATGAATTTTCAGGCCATCACAATAATTTTTGATATTGAAAAAACATATTTCGGCACTATTTATAGGTGCGCTTACTTTGATTGATTAGGTCTCAGCCTTATACAAAACCACACCCTTTTTTTAAATACCCCCAAATTACAATTTAAAGGGAAAATCAACCGGCCCCTAAAAATAAGAGATACTGTGTAAAGGAATTTTTGGGAGAGGCTATCTTGACAGAAATCTGGGAGAAACATGTGATAGCATGCATGATGGACACAATGCTTTGGATAGCCAAAGTTTGTTTCTTCAGATTCTTCTTTAGGAGCCTAACAGCCATGCTAGATAGGTGAGCCCTGGCTTGCATTGTTGGTTGATCCTATTCCACTGAGAGGTACAGGCATTCACACCCCTATTAGTCATTTATCACAACAGAGAAGCATAATGACCAATACTTGACCTGCTTATGAGAAAAAGAACAGGGATTAATATGACTAAATTCACTTCTACAACAACGGTATCCTCCATGATTAATCTGATATTATCTTGCAATAATCAACCTGATATTATCTTAGCTATAATCAAGGTGGTATGTCCTTAAAATCTTAAAAACTTGATGCCCTATTTCTTTATTGATCATCATTCTCTTAATTAAGCATAGTTCTCTTCTCTGCTGATGAGGCCTAGTGCCCTGATCTGTCTTCCAGTCTTCTGGCACAACATTTGCAAGACCTAGCTATTGTCTTTGTGTGCGTTGATCTATATTAAGCTTCACACTGTTACATGCAGGGCCCAAACCCATTATCATGCAAGAAGAAGAAAAATCCAGAAGGTCCTTCAGTTTCTCAAACTTTTGTGAGTGCATTTCATCTTCTTCAGCTTCTAGAGCACATATTCTCCTTCTCCTGCTATTGCTAACTTGCACATGCATGCAAAGTGAGAAATACACACTTAAACGCTTTGCACGTGCACACATGCATACTGCCTTAGCTTGTATACAATTATAGGTCCTATGCTGTGCTTTTCTATCAAAAAACAATGATGCTTAGAATATCTCGATATGCTAGTATGTGCTTGGATTCTGAGACCTTTTACTTGGTTAAATATTTTGCTCAGCGTTAGAAATTAGTGGTAATTCTATTGCACAATATACATGAGAATGTATTCAGTTAACAATAAAAAATACTAAAAAAAGATATGGATGGAAGTAGTGAGAAAATATATGGCGGCTTATTGTCTGATTGACGGTGTGGCCCTTGATAAAACATAATGATGGAATAAGATTCGTGTTGCCGACTACAAATAGTTGGAATAAAGCTCTGATGATGATGAATAAAAAATATTTAGAAAAATAAATAAATTTATTTATCTATTCTTGTAATTTATACCTGGAGTATTTCCTTAATGTATTCAACATTCATTACCTTTATTTTGTATGACAATTTTTTTTGAGCAAGGTCATTTTTCGTCCATATTAAAAAAGCGGTTTTTTTTGTCATTAGGGAGGATAAAATAGATATTTCGATAAGAAATTAGGGGCATTCTAATAGTGGTTAAAAATAAATTAATATTCCATATGGTTGATGTCACACCTCATGTGGATGAAGTCATTATCTACTGTAGTTAATAAATATTCCTTTTTATCAAGAAATTCTGTTTTACCTTTGATTAATTACTTAAAATACCTGTAGACAAAAAAATTACTACATTGTGAGGTAAGAGTACCAAACGTCAAAAAATGTTGAGTACAGTAAATAAAGTACATTAAGAAAATACTCTATATATAAGAATACGCTAACAAAACCTTTTTATAAATCAGACGTATTATTTTATATAATAAAGGATGTGCAAGGATATAAGGGTTGTGTGACCAACACATCCCTCTTAAAGCAGCATCCACATCCTTTGTGTATGTGTGTGTGTTGTGTTGTGTTCCACTTCCTTTGGGTATGTGTGTGTGTTGTGTGTTGAAAATACCTGAAAACATCATATCATCGTTGAAGCCTTTTCCAAACTAATTAGGGTTGGCTATATGGATCTTGGTCTGCCATTTTGCTCTATTAAGGGCCATAACTTTAGTGAGATCATAAGTCTCCATATATTTTATCACTATTTCCAACCATGCCTTTTTGACCTTTTGCCCTTTTGAGCCTTCTACTTGAACTAACTTGTACTTCTTAATAGATGTTGTACTAGGTATATGACACACACGGCGAGCTCACTTAAGTATACTTTCTCTCTTCTTATCGCCTACTGGTGTCACAGAAATTTTTTAGAATGTATTCATTTTGGATTCTATTCTTTATTGTCTTTCCACTCATCCATCTCAACATCCTCATCTTAGCTACACTCATTCTATAGGTATGTTGTTTCTTGACGGCCAACATTCCGCCGCATAAAGTAAAGTTGGTTTCACATGTCTTATAAAAGTTGCCCTTTTGCTTTATTGGTACGATCACATAAAACTCCAATTGCACATCGTCACTTTACCCATCCAGCTCTAATTCTATGTGCGACATCTTCCTCAATCTCCCAATTTTCCTGAATTATCGACCCACGATATCGAATGTGTGCTTATTTTAGTATTTCTTGATTGTCAATCTTAACTACTTCTTCATCTCTACTCTTATTATTACTAAATTTGCATTCCATATATTCATCTTAGTTTGGCTAATTTTAAAACATGTAAATTCTAGAGCATCCATCCAAAGTTCTGACTTTTGTTGACACCGTTTTGGGTCTCATTGATCAAAACTGTCATCCGTGAATAACATGCACCACGGTACCTTAAAACATACTTAATGCAATTTCTTTTCTTCTTTTATCAATAATACGTACTGTATGGTAATAAAGGTTGGATTGGAGGCTTATATGGGTCATCTGATCCATGCATCCTACTCATTTGGCAGCACCTACATCCTCTCATGTGTGTGTGCGCACGCACATGCATGCGCTAGTGCACAAAGCCCTCTCATGTGTGTGTGCGCGAGCACATGCATGCGCTAGTGCACAAAACATGTGTTGTGGAGTTTTCTTTCCTCTACCCAGCTGCTCTATCTTTCCCAGAGAAAGGCACATGCATAGCGAGAGAGAGAGAGAGTTGTAGTGTTACTCTGGCAATTGATTATTTTTTTTTTGGTGTCGCTTGTTGATGCTTAAGCATGTAGCGACACTTGTCAACGCTTATATATCTTGAGTGACGTCATTTATTTTTCAGTACAATGTCAACAGTCCTTTCAGAAGTTTCTTCTATAATAACTTGGACCTTCTTATCATGAAAGTTTTTAGGTCTCATGTGGTATAGCAGCCTAGCATTTATACTCTTCGTCTAAGGTTTGAATCGCATCTATACTCTTCGTCTAAGGTTTGAATCACAGCTTGCATTTTTTATTTTTTGGCCAAAGTTTTTAAGCAACATGGTGGTGGTTTTTCAATTTTAGAAAAGGCTTATGCTTGGCTAGGATTTGAACCTTGGTCCACTTGAATATGAACCACTTACCAATATCACTCCACTGGCTTAGCTTTATTTGAACATGATGGGATACTATACAATCATCATCGTCATTTTAGTTTCTTTCCAATTAATTGGGGTCGGCTACATGAATCCTGGTTTTCCGTTCTGCTCTATTAAAGGTCCTATCCTTAGTGAGGCGATAAGTCTTTATATCTTTTAGGACTACTTCCAACCACATCATTTTGGGTCTACTTTTTGCCTTTTTCAGTCCTTCCACTTGAACTAACTCACACCTCCTAACAGGTGTTGTATTTGGTCGGCGCCATACACGACCAACCCACCTAATTCTACTCACTCTCATGTTATCGTCTATTGGTGCCACGTCAAAATTCTCTCGAATAGATTCATTTTGAATTCTATCACTTCTTATCTTGCCATTCATCCATCTTAACATCTTCGTCTTCGCTACATTCATTCTATGGATATATTGTTTTTTGTCCGCCCAACATTCCGTCCCATAGAGCAAAGCTGGTCTCACTGCTCTCCTATAAAATTTTCCCTTCAGCATCATTGGTATGCGGTGATCACATAAAATTCCAGTTACACATCTCCACTTTGCCCACCTAGCTCTAATTCTGTGTGCGACATCTTCTTCGATCTCTCCATTTTGCTGGATTATCGACCCAAGATATGGAAAGTGGAAAGCGCCGTCTTTTTTGTACTTTATGGCTGTCAATTTTAACTACTTCCTCGTATCGACTCCTATTATTACTAAACTTGCATTCGTATACTCTGTCTTAGTCCGATTGATTTTAAAACATTAGGTTTCTAAAGCGTCCCTTCAAAGTTCTAACTTTGTGTTGATGCTGCTTCGGGTCTCAGCAATCAAAACTATGTCATCTGCGAACAACATGCACCACGGTACCTCATCTTGTAGATGCCTAATTAAGTTGTCCATAACTAAGACAAAGAGCTATTGACTGAATGCTAACTTTTGATGTAGACCTATTGTCACTGAAAACTCATTCGTCTCTCCATAGTTGTTCGTACACTAGCTACCGCTCCATTGTACATATCTCTCACCAAGTCGATGTAGTGTCTAGAGACGTCTTTTTTTTTTCTAATACCTGGCAAATCAAATATCGAGGTACTCTATCATAAGCTTTCTCTAGATCAATAAAGATAATGTGCAAGTTTTTTCCTTTCGTCTTAAAGTTCTCAATCAGTTGCCTAAGTAGGAAAATAGCTTTAGTTCTTGACCTTCCTGACATAAAACCAAAGTGGTTTTCGGATACATGGAATACTACAAATATCATCACATTCTTCAAGATAAAAGGATACCCAAAATTCACATCACATTCTTCAAAATAAAAGGATACTCAAAATTCACATGCGCATATATTGTATAGTCTTACTTATTGATACTTTTATGAAGTATCGGTTTTTGACCCCACACACTAGACACTTAGAAATGTATTAAATACGGACACCTTTGTCAGTGTCCATGTAACATTGGTGCAGGGTGGAGGGGAGAGTGTGGCCGTTGGTATGATTTAGGGCCAAGAGTAGTTTGGGGTTTGAGGGCAACTACATTTAGAACGGTGCTAGTTTCTTAGTGCGAGTCAATTATTTTTCTACACAATTGCTACCCAAATTCTAGCCTAGTTTTCTTTCTTCGATTTTTTTTTGGATCTTCACTGTACTCAAGTCCTTCATTATCAGTGATCAGCATTATGGTTATTTATTAGTGGAATTTCAAATCCAATTATTAAAGTAAGTTTAGTGTTTGATGCATACAATGAAATACTTTTTTTCTCCCTTATGAATGTTGATTTATATACTGAAATACTTTCCAGGTGCATAAGTTTGATGAAACGAGTGAGAGGAGTAGAAAGAAGAGAAAACGTAAACGGCCAAATAAAGAGAAGTTGGAGAACCCAGCAAATTAAAAAGATGTCCATCCCGAGAAAAATGGGTTATAGAATGGGCCATGGATTCAAAGCTGGAAACCTGTCTCGATGTTTGTGTTCAACTGGGCAAAAGAGGCGCTGTAACTCATATTTTTGGGCCTTGCATCTAATTTTTAGTGTCGGTTATGAATGAGCTGAAATTTTGAATCAAAATCTGTGTGTGTGAAATGCAATGGTCGTGTGCAGTCGCAAAATCGAACCGGAACGGTTAACCGGATATGGGCTCTGAAGCGGTTCAACCGGCCTAACCTGTAGACCGGCCGATTCAACCGTTCTAACTGAGCTAGTCCTTAGCAATAAAAAAATTGTTGAAAAAACTAAAAATAAAATGTAAATCTGATAAAATATAAAAAGTATATTTAAAGAATGATTATATAAAACACATCCAAATGAAGTTGAAAATTCATAAAAAAAATAGATTTTAAAGAATCGATTTGTATTTAGGAGTATTTTTGAAATTTTCTAAAAAGGATGGAATAATGTAATAGTAAATATTGATGACCAAAACAATATATAATATTAAAAACATATATTGCAAACAAAAATCCTTATTTTTTAGATTATATATATATTTTTTAAATTTTTCTTTAAAATACTTGGCCCGTCATCAAAACCGGTACCGGTACCGGCCATTGGCTTAGAGAAGTGTGAGCATGGCTAAGAGAAGTTAGCATGGTGTGAGCATGGCTCAGAGAAGTCAGCACGGTTAGAACTTTGAAGCTTATTGGAGAAATAGATGCATTATGTGAGGAAGATTTTTTTGTTAGTTCGGTAGATGATCCGGGAAGGGGTGTGCTTGTGGTGGCCATCCATGCATTCGGTCCATTCCTAATGCGATGAATATTTGAATCTCTCTCAAAGGTGAACATGGTATAGAGCATAGATAGCATACTATACTCTTGTGTGGGCACAAGGTACTTCCTCCTTCATGTAGAAAGCCTACTTGGGTGCATTTTTGATCTCGAGATTTTGAGTTCTATTTGAGAATCATTACGTGAATCTTTTCAAAAAAAACATTGAATTTTGAATATCTAAAAAGTACTTTAAATTAATGAAATATTTAAAAAGTCCCTAAAATTAGTTAAATTCCTAAAAAGTACTTCAATTTATTCAAATTTATACCTAGTCCAAATTTATTGTCCAAATCAAATTAAATTGTTTTGTTTTGTTTACTTTTTGGACATTTTTTCTCAAGGAATGTGTGGCGTGTTTTTTTATTTTTTTTCCTTTTTATCCATGGAAAATTATCTCACTTACTCTCTTTCTTGTTTCTCCAAACATTGAAAATGGCATGTCCAGTTCCCCAAGCTCTCTCATGATACTGTCACGGCTCTCACTCTCTCTCTCTCTCCAGCCCATGCCCATGAATAACTGACACTCATACAAAACAAACCCCACCTTAGTAAACGTCGCCAAGGAGAGGACTCCTCTCATCGTTTATCTCACAATGTCTCGAGCCCTCCTCTCTCTCTCTCGCATCACCAAACCATCTTTCCCATAATCTCTGCCAAAAAACTCTCCTTTTTTTTTAAAAGTTTCAAACCTTTTAGACGGTGTTCTAACTCTGCAATTTCATGCATGTAATCCCAAATTGAAACACAAATCCTATTCAACTCACCATGTGAGCATGGATTTTCCCATTCTTTGAATCCTGTCGCATAAGAATATGACTTCCTGGTTGCTGTGTACCTCAAGAATAGGAAAACGAAGGCGCTAATGTATCCTACCAGCTTCCGGTTTTCTTTGAATCTCTTCCTAGTCATTCACTGGCATCACTATTAATCAAGCTCTCTTTCTCTCTTTAGGCTTGCAATCTGATTCATGTGTGATTGATTAGAAGTGAATCATGGATTCTCGCGGCCCCTCCAGTCCCGCGAGTCAGGACTCGGAAACGGTGCAGTTTGTCCACTTTGTCCCGGAGACGGGGCGTCTGCTTCCCTCTGCTAGTCGATGGAACTCAATCGACATTGATTTCGGGCTCGGTCAAGCAAACTCTCTCCCCTTTCATGTTATCCCCTCTCTCTACTCCAAGTCTGTCTCCTTCAACCTTTTTATTGCCGACAAGCAAACCTTCAAGAGGTTCCTGTATGTTCTGGTTGCGTTAGTCATCCTCACGCTGTCGATTGCCCTTGTGCTTGTCTTCGTGCCTCATCGACATTCACGCCCTTCCCTTTCTCCAAACATCACGCTCGCGTTGCATCAGGCTCTCCTGTTTTTCGATGCACAGAAATGTGAATTCTAACTTCCTTATATATCTTGTTCCTTTCTTTAAATTTTTCTTTTCATCAGAGTTTCGTTTTTATTTGTGGTGACACAAAACTGCTGAAATTTGTGAAAAGTCCGTAGGTTTCTTGAGGAACCAAGAGAAGAGACCATTTCAAAACACATCACAAAGTTGTGTTTCAAAGAATTAAGTTCAGCATTTGATGCATAATAAATGTCATCCAAATTCTGCAAAACGCCGGCAAATAACTGATCGACATATTTATGTCAGTTGGGTGTGGCATCTATAAGCCATCAACCTTAAGCTACCAGAATAAGTTGGACATCTAAACTTTGTCAACTATCTATAAGTCATCAACCTTAAGCTATCAGAATAAGTTCCACATCTAAACTTTGTCAACTGATGCAATTTCTGTGCCGGAAATCTTTAAGATTGTTCGAAAATTTATGTCCACCCTTAAATTAAAACCTTTTTATTTATTTATTTTTTTAATTTTTATGCACAGAGGGTAAAATTACTGAAATTACCATGTGGTCTATAAGTTCCCATATTTTACCACGAGATCCTACTCCCTCGATTTTTTTTTAAATTTTCCAAATTTTGTGTGGAATGATGTTTCTAATAACGCATTGTTTGTTTGTTTTTTTTTTCTTTTAAAAAAAATTTATTTATTTTTTGATATTTGTAGAGGCTGTTTGAAATTTATTGTGTCAAACAAATCCATTTGTAGGGCAGTCTGATAATACGAACATCAAGCCACCCTACATTTTTGGCCTACCATTATTTATGGGGGGGTCTGATGTTACAAATGTCGGATCACCCTTTTTCATACTCTTTCTTTATATATTTTAGCAATCTAAGCCTTTAAACATCGGATTGCTATTGAACTACTTTTATTTTAAAGTATCCTTGCTTTGAACTAACTTTATCTCTTTTAAACCTATTTTTTTGCCCCAAACAAATGTAATAAAGATATATCCTTTTTAAACACCATCATTTCTTTCTCTTCACTTGATTTTTCTTTTAAATCTCTCTATGGCTTTTTTCAAACCCTCTCTCTCGTCTTATTTTCCCATTTTCTCTCTCTCTCTTTCTCTCCATAATTTATTTTTCTTTATATATTTGCTTGATTTATGTGGAAATTTCCTATTGATTAGTTGAATATTATTCGCATGGATGATTAACTATATGTAGATTGTACATGTTTTTGGAATCCAAAATGAGAGAGAAGCGTTTTGGAAAACACGGGGTAGAGAGAAAAAGAGAGACTTAGAGAGAGAAAATGGGGAAAAGTAGAGAGAGAGAGAAAGGGTTTGGGAGAATCTCAAGGAAGAGAGAGAGAGAGAAATTTGAGAGGAATATATCACATAAAGAGTGGAAGGGTTTAGAATGAGTATGTCTTTTTTATATTTGTTAAGGCTAAAAAAATAGTTAAAAATGATTAAAGTTATAATAAAGGGGTTAGTAGATATATTTTAAATCCTTGAGCCTATTCAGATACGAAAACAAAAAATAAAAGGTATGGGGATATTTCCCCAAAGTTCAAACCATAATAAACATTGTACTTTTATCAAGTTTACATCTAAATTATAATCTAAATCTTTTTTTGTTAGTGTGTTTTTTCAGCTGGTATTCTACCGACAAATAATCCAGTGAAATTTCGTGGAGATTCCGGAAAATTCGACGGGAATTTCATCGATATAAGCGTCGATTTGGTCGGTGGGTTCTATGATTCAGGCAACAACATAAAATTCACATTTCCAACAGCTTATACAGTTACATTATTGAGTTGGAGTGTGATAGAATACCACAAGAAGTATGAGATTGTGGATGAATTAGAGAGTGTTAAGGAGGTGATCAGATGGGGATGTGATTTTTTGTTGAAGACCATTGTCCTTCCTAATATAACCAATGGTGCTGGAATCCTCTATTCTCAGGTAAGATAGTAGCTTGCCTTGTATGAACATTTTCCTTTTTTAACTGTACTGATGACCCGCATTGCGGCTCAATGTTTGATTTTTAATATTTTTTTTTGTAAACGTGTTGGACATGAAATCTCGAGCCGGACACGTTTCACAAAGGCGAACAAAATAAATATTAAAAAATAATTTGTAAAAAATAAAATGAAAAATACACCCAGCCTTGTGATTGGGGGTTATCTTGGTCATTCTAAATTTTTTAAGTTTTGTTTTGATATTTTTTTGTTTGCTTTGGTGAGATGCACATTATCCCAAAATTTAGATAAAATGGATTTGTAAAAAGAATATTAAACTTAACATGGTCCACACTCTGGTCATTAGAATTAAGACCGACTCTAGACTTGCACTAATATTGTTCCATTAATATTTGGCTAACAAAACTATTTTCCATATATAAATATATGTATTTTCTAACAATAGCTTATTTATCTTTTGTACATAAATGTTACAATCATTCTTATCCCTTAAATTTCAAAATAGGTGGTTGTAAAAATATCATTGAATAGACACAAACTTCCAAAAAAAAAATTATCGAACTTTATGACTCATGCAAAACTATCCAATTTAACATCTAATGAGTGAGAATGATTATGACATCTATGAATAAAAGATAAATAGTCTCTTTATCGACAATCCCATAAATATAATGCAAAATCTACAACTTCCTAGTAAAATAAACTAGGTAAATTACTAGAACCTTTAATGAGTGAAGTTGTATAAAAGGGAAAGCTTTTTATATTCCCCCTGCAACATGAAGTTCTATCCTCCCCCTACCATCCAGCTGTTCATTTTTTATCAAGAGAGCCACTCACCATTAATTTTAGATCCGACATCTCAAAGTATTTTATTTTTAGTTTTTTTTTAATACATTTTTTTTTAATATGAAATTTGGTATGTGCCATCTTCTCATTGGGGCGCACCTATAAATAATAATAATAATAATAATTTTTTGATAAAAAATAATGACCAAAATACGCGTTAAAAATTTCAAAGGTATTTTGGTCATTTTATTTTATTGAAAATATTTTTTCTATATTTTTCGTTAGTGCGAGTTTAATAGAAGAACAGACATCCAAAATTTGATATCAAAATAGTTTATCAAAAAAAGAATTAAAAATAAAATAGTGTAGAGACGTGACATTGTGATTGGGGCAAATCTTAGCCCTCCATTAAAAAATAGACAGTCGGATAAGGGGTAGGATAGAACTTCTATATTGTAGGGGAACATAGAAAGCTTTCCCTGTATAAAATGCCAAATCTACGTCCAAATCTACGCTATCTTATGTGCGCACCATGGGAAAATGTTTTTTCTCTTTTTTGCTATATGTTTAGGATGCATATGTAGAAATACAGGCTTTTAATAAATCTATTTTTGAAATAAATTTTAAGATTAAATTTTTAAGGACACGTGATTTCTAACATGAATCATGAATATAAAAAAAGAAATAAATTTTAAAAACTGAAAATAATAATTCTAAAAAGAAAACATTTGGACTGTTAGTTGCTATTATTCTCTGATGAAATGCATACGTACATCCATCTTTTCTTTCCGAAACGCATATATAGAAATGCAGTCCAACCGCATGAAACAATTTTCTTCTATAAGTTTACGGTGGGAAGACTGTATAGATGACTAGAGCCTTTAAGAAATGAAGTTGAATATAATGCCAATTCTACACTATTTTATGTGTGAACTATGGGAACATGCCCTTTTTTTTCTTTTTATTTTTGCTATGTCATTACACTCTATATACACATGATGAAAAGAAACCCTCAAAGAAGCCACTAAATCTAAAATTCTTTTGCCCGAAATAGCATGCTCTCTACTGTATAACAACTCCCTTGGGAAAAATAGATACTTCGAAGGATTTTTTAGATCCCAAAATTTAGGATCCATCTAAGTATTATTAGATGACTATTCTCATGAAAAGAAAAAGGATTTTGAGTTATTGAACATCTAGATCTTTTCGACAATTTTGATGATTCCTGTATAATTTTAAGATATCGCGTTTCTTATAGGCACATAGAGAGTGCAAGTGAATTTTTCTTCTTCTTTGAGGTTGGTCATTGGGTTACAACGACTAGTGTTCGATTGCAGAACTGGCCTCAGAACTCGGCCGTGGGCTGCGTCCGAGTAACCAGGAACCGATCCCAATAACTGGCCCCAACCAAGCAGGTCCTGACCTAGCTAAAAAGGGTTAAAAAATCTAAAATAAATCTCAAGAAATGTGAAAAACCAAAATAACTTCAAATGAGATTAAAAAACGAGTGAAAAAAAATGGATTTTGAAAAATCAATTTCTGCTTAAGGATACTTTAGAAATAATCTAAAAAAGACGGGAAACATGTAAAAATATGTATTTATGGCTAAAATACTTCCCAATCTATTTCAAAATAATAGAAAGCATGAAAAAAATCCTATTACAAATAAATTTTTTATTTTTTTGGATATTTTATAATTGTTTTATTTTTTTAAAAGTTGGGTGGTCAAGCAAGTTGACCAACCTAACCTAACTGGCCCAGTGGCTGGTTCCAAGTAACTTAACCGGTATTTCAACCTAGCCAGGTTGTTGAGCAATGACATAGATTACATCTCCAAAATTTAGGATCCAAAAAGTATTCCTAACAAATAGATAATAGACTCCTACAGTCCTACTACGAAATCTTTTCACACCAGCGAGAATAAAAGAAAAGACACATTTCTATGCGACCAGCCCCCATGTTGTAGAAATGCAGGTTTGGCAAAAAAAATATTTTTTAAGTATAATTTGATCTTAATGTTTAAAGAATATATAAACTTTAACATGGAGATCATGAATATGAATAAATAAATAAATTTTGAAAACTAAAACTAATAATTATATTAAAAAAATATTTGGGAAGTAAGTTACAATTATTTTTAGATGGACCACCCATTTACATCCATCTTTTAAGATGGATGCTTTATACCTTTGAACCGCGTAAAAATGCGATCCAGCCCGCATGAAACAATTTTCCTAAAAGAAAGACGACTTCCCGAGAATTAGGAAATACCAATCACCAAATATGGTGGAAGTTTTGCTGAACTACCAAATTATTTATTGCATATTACTTATCATGAAGCTTCAATTTTTTTTTTTCAATCTAATTTTATATTTCTAATATGTAAAAATCAAAGATATGACTTATAAGGAGGGAAATATTAAAAGCACCCTGCCTAGACAAGAAGTCAGCCTCTAGGGCTGGCAACGGGCCAGGCTATCTTTGGTCCAGCCTGGTCCGACTCAGCCCTAGCCGGTCCAAAGAGGCTGCCGGGCCTAATTCACTCGAAGGAGCAAATTTAGCGTAATTCACTCAAATAAAAATGTAGGGTTTATTTAAAGAAAAAATGGGCTGGCCCAGCCCGGCTCTCGGGCCTAGGTGGCTGTGGGTGGTCTTTTGCTTCGTGGGCAAATAGCGGGCCACCTCTTAATGGCTTAATGCTTGCCCACCTCCTTGAGCGCCTATAGAAGCTACGTATCTCTTTGTAGCCAATAAATGCTTGAGGTTCTATGTAAGAAAAGGTTTTTATACTTTCTTTATAACATAGAAGATATATACTTCTTCCTACTATCAAATTTAGTTCAAGTGAGTCACTCATCGCTTGATCTAAATCTAACGCTTCAGAGTATTTTATTTTTATTTTTTTTATACAAATTACATAAATATGAAATTCATATTTTTAAATCTTCTTAATGAGGTGCACCTAAAAAAATATTGAAAAAGAATTTTTTGATAAAATATAATAATCAAAATACCTCTTGAAATTTTTTAAGGGTATTTTATCGAAAATATGTTTTTATATTTTTTTACAAGTACAAATTTAAGAGAGGAGTTGATGCCCAAAATTTGGTGTAAAAATAGTTTATAGAAAAAAATTAAAATAAAATACGATATAGACTTGACATTGTGATTGGGGCCATCTCAGCCGTCTATTCAGAATGGATGGTTGGATAAGAGAAAATGTATAAGTTTTATGCTGTAAGGAAGCCTAGAAAGCTTACCCTATGCGTAAGCACCAAAATTGATTTTTAGGGAGCCTCTCTCTCTAGGATGTCTATTAAATATTTTTTTTCATTCTCTGAATTTCACCTGGTTTTTTGTTCGTGTTTCTATCCTTCTCTGCGGGTGTGCAAACTAAGGGCACATTTGTTTTGCATTTTCGCCTAAAAAAATTCTTTTATACGGTTAGGTGTGAGTATATTTTCATACCAATTAGTTGCCAATTAATGTGAAAAGGTGTACTGAGACTAATTGGTGTGAAATATTGCTCTAGAAATATTTTCAGGTGAAACAGACCTGCCCTAAGAGGAGCTAAAAATGCTCTACTGGGCTAGGTTGTATCTTGGGGCACCTTCACATTTTGAGAAATTACATCAGAGGCATTGAACATCTTGAAAATAGTGAGAGCCATTATGCCTCCATGTCTAGGTTGAGAGCATAACTTATGTTTGCCTCTGTTTGTTTAGCTTTGCATGTTGCCTTTTCCAAGAAACAAATGGTCTCATCTTGCCAGAATTCTCACTGCGATTAAGAGAAATCTCATTGCACCTAACCTTAAGCTTCATATTAACCTGAAAAAAATAACCTCAAAACTTAATGCCTTTTGAGCTTGATGCTCAGTAGTATTGCTTTATGGAATGTAAAGTATTTTTAACTCCATTAGCTGTTTCACTGCTGCTAATTATTTGTGTCTATTGTCTAGAGATGAATATGCTTCAGTGCAAGTACTTTGAGTGCATAATCGATTCAATTTATTGCTTTACACAATTCTTTAGCTTTGAAGCTAATTACATTAGTTTTGAAGATAAGAACATGCAAATTCTGGTTTTTTTTTGTTTGTTTAGGACCCGAAACCAACAAAATACAGAGTAGTTAGTATCACAGTGGAATGCTGATATGAGCAATCCAAACAATACTAGTTGATATCATGGATTTTCACTTGAGCACTCTCTCAAAAGAAAGGGTAACTGAATTTCTAGTAATTGTTTCTCTTCCAGGTGGGTTCGGGCCCTCGTAATAACAGCAATGGTGAGAATGATCTCATCTGTTGGCAAAGACCAGAAGATATGGATTATCCGAGACCCGTTTCTATTTGTCGAAATTCGGGTGTGGATTTGTCTAGTGAGATTGCGGCTGCCTTAGCTGCTGCTTCCATGGTTTTCAAACAAGATGAGAAATATTCTATACAATTACTCGAGAATGCTGTTAAATTATTCAACTTTACGAAGCAAATTAAGAACATGGAAACATATACAGCTGATGAATCTTGCGGTGGTGATGCAAGAGCTTATTATAATTCAACTGGTTATCTCGACGAGTTAGTTTGGGGAGGAACATGGCTCTTTTTTGCAACTGGGAATACTACATATCTTGAATATGTTACTGATAATTTTGAGCTAGCCATTGCCGAAGAAAATAGCAGAAATAAAGGTGTCTTTTATTGGGATAATAAGATTGTTGCGACTTCGGTAAGTCTCTAACTCATTTATAGAGAAATAATGCGATTCATATCGGAGTTATGTTTTGGGTTTTTGGGTTTTTGGTTTTTATTGATTTTTGTTAATGGGTTTTTGCAGATGTTGCTAACCAGGTTGAGATATTTCAATGATCCTGGGTACCCTTCTGAGTCGATCTTACAAAAATGTGAGAGCATGACAAAGATGATAATGTGTTCTTATCTTCCTGAGCTACAAAGCTTTGATAGGACTCCTGGTAATATAGAGATCCTAAAAATGGTGAACCTTGGGCCATGATTTTGTCATTTAGATGAAATATTGAAGCCTCTATCTCTCTCTCTTCATGCAGGGGGTTTGATTTTGTTGAGGCCGGATACCCTTGGTCCTCTTCAGTTTGCAGCAACTGCAGCTTTTCTAAGTAAATTGTACAAAGATTATTTGGTGGTTCAAAGGACCTCAAATTGGGCCTGTGGGGATGATGTCTTTCCCATGGACGTCTTAGAAGACTTCTCCTTATCCCAGGTAGTCTCTCCATTAAGTTGCAGCATAGTAATAGCCATGCTTACTAGCATTTTTGGGGTGCCTGATCTAGGTCATGGATCCGTTTTTTAAACCAGTGAATAAAAATAAGGCACCCCTTAAAACCCACCAAGAACATGTTGTTGTTATGTTAGAAACCCTTTAATTGATCATCTTGGCTTCAAGCTATATGAAAAAGAAAAATAAGGATTTCAAGTCTTAAAATTAATTCATCTTGTAACACATTATCTGCACTGTCCGTTTTCAAGATATTCAAGTGTTTATGGACTTGCTAGACCTGTACCATTTTTAGAGCTTTAAAATTTCATAACTAGGGATAGAAATAGATTTTCAGGCTATTGCAGGGGTTTTTGCCTCTAAAGCTATATCTTCTTGTATGATTTGTATGTGTACCTTACTATAATTGTTTAATATTGATACCTTGTACAAAACTCACTTGCACAAATAATGTAGAGCTCTTTTTGCAAAGGCTTCACACTAAATTTCCATCAACTTCATTCAATAGATCTTTCTTTTTTCTTTTGACATGTACAAAATCCCGGAAAACATCCATGGAAAGCATGGACACAGATGAAGTTGAAAGTGGCTTGACTATATAAGCCCTTTTCGTTTTTGCAGGTTGAATACATACTAGGGAAAAACCCAATGAAAATGAGTTACTTAGTGGGGTTTGGAGATCACTTCCCAAATGAAGTTCACCACAGAGGAGCATCCATCCCTTGGGACAACAAGCATTACTCATGTGAACAAGGGAAGACTTGGTTGAGCTCAAAAAATCCAAACCCTAATGTTTTGGATGGGGCAATGGTGGCTGGACCCAACAAAGGGGATGAATTCATAGACAATAGAGCTTCACCTGAGTACACTGAGCCTACCATTTCTAGCAATGCTGGTTTGGTGGCTGCACTTGTTGCACTACTTGAACCAGCAAGTTCCAAGTTGGCTTCTGATGACATCGGTGGTGGTATTGATGATAGGGGGATATTTGAAAACATTCATCTCATCCCACCATCTAACACAACTCTTGAAGACCCTTAGGCCTGCATGGTGGTTTCTCACAATGTGTTTTTTCATGAACAAGATTTAATTTGTCATTTGATCTTATTTTGCTTTATCTTGCAGAGTGTGGCAATCTAAGTCCTAAGGGATGTCTCATGTGGGAATATGAGCTTGAAAAACTCAAGAACACTTGGCCTCAGGCCTAATGCATTAAATGCTATGAAATTGACATCTATTGAGGCAGTGCATCATTCCCTGTGCAAACTTGTTCAATGTTTTTGAGAGCTTAATGACTTGGGATGAAGCTAAATTTAGTTAGCTGCTGTGTATAACAATGCTCAAAAGATTAAATTCTTTCAAAGTTGTTGCACTTTTAGCCTCAAAAGCTTTGAATTTTAAGCCTTCTTTATGATCAAATGCTAAGAATTGTTAGCCTTTCTTTGATCTATATAGAGTTCTAGTGTTTTAAAACCCACCGGAAATTGTCTGAGACCCAACACCCATCGCCATCCCATCCTCAAATTAATTTCAATTTGGGTGTCCACAAACCTCAATGAAGTGAACCTAAAAATAAATATAAAAAAATTACAAAAATAAAATTAAACAAAATACCTGAATTTTTAAGGGTATTTTGATAAAAACAAATTCATTTTTTTTATATGCACCTAAATATGTCACAAACACCTTCAAAATTTCATGTCAGTCTCCTTAGTAGAAAAATAAAAATAAAATACTATACTAAATCGTGGCTATCCATTTTTTTTACTTTTAATCTGAACCATTGAAGGGTACATCTAGAGGGAGATAATTAATTTGGTGTTAGGAAGAGTATTTGGAGAGAGTAACCAAACGGGTAGAGAGTGGGCTAAAACTTAGAGAGGCCTCTTTCAGAATGCTCATCAGGTTTCCAAACAGCCTAAAAGAAGAATGGAAAGAAATGTTGGGACTCAGCAAGAAATTGATAAACAAATGGAGTACATATATTATGCTCCCTCAGGGATATAGTTTACTTCTAACCCTTTGGTTAGATGACTTACTTGGGATGATTTTTTTGATCTAAAAAATAGTAAATATTCTTAAAAAAGAAAAAAGAAAAAAAAATTTAAGATTTTAACTCTTAGATAGTTTCTATTCAATCTTGAGACATTATTATTTTTCTAGTGGTTAGAGATTGAAAGTAGGATTTTTTTTTAATGAGGTTAATCTATGTGTTAAAGAGGTCATCCTAAAACTAATCCTAAATGGGGTTTCCCCTAGGAACTAGAATATCTTTTGACAAAGATAAAACATGTCTATACACCCTATCCCTATGGCTCTTCCCCAACACTTCACTATTAAAAAAATTTAAAAGAAATAAAAACACCCAAAAAAAACATCAAACCAATCACAGGCTTTACTGCAAAAGAAAAAAAAAAATAGTTACTTAACTAAAATCAACCAAATAGGCTTTACTGCAAAAAAAAAAAAAACAAAAAAAAAAACAATTATGTTAAAAAGAAAAAAAATGATATTTATAATTATGAATAACTGAAAAAATTATAAGAAACAAAAACAATATAGAAATTTTTTTTACAAAGAATAACATTCCTAGACCTCACAAAACAAACCATTCTTTATCAAAGACATAGCTCATAACAACACCTGTATGTTTAAATGGATTAAACTGCCATCGTTGAGATTGAAGAAACGTCATTGTTGAGATTGAACCACGAGCGTATGTCAGATTGCATGGATGAGGAGCCGGAAAGCCGCTTGAGATTAAACCGCGAGTGTGTCAGATTGAGTGCATGGATGAGGAGCCAGAAAGCCGCCTGAGATTGAACCGAATGTGTCAGATTGAGTGGATAAGTAACCGGAAAGAGTTTGGAAGAGATGACAATATTGTGATTGTCCCAAGTTTCTGCGTCCATCTTCATACCCACATTCGCTTTAACTTACTACGTATTGTTGAGATTGAAGAGCACCTCTCTTGATCTTAACTCTTAACAACAAAAAAAAAAACATTTTGATTGGGATCATTGCCAATGTGTTTGCTGGTTTTGTGATTGGAATAAGTTTAATGTAATCCAATTAATGATAAAAACAATGGTTTCAGGCCCAACAACCATTTATTGGTATAATACAAGCCAAACTCATAACTTTTTCTCCAACCACAAACCTCTTTCTCTCCCTCCTATGTGTTTGATAGATGCCAATGTCCCAATGAACCGAGGCTCTAAACAATCGAAATAAAGCTCACCTTCAAATAGTGTTAATAAATGTAGTTTCATTGCTAGTAATCTTTATAATAGCCTTAAATTATGTTTTTATATCTAATTATAAAATTTCAAGCTTAAAAAATAGTGTAGATTGAGCAGATCTATGAAAATCTTGAAAATTGATGGTCCAAAAATGCATTACAAGGTACACTATTTTCAAAACTTGAAATCCATTTTTTTCTCATGTCTATTCATCTTGATGATCAATTTAAGGATATTTGGGCATCAAAACAACTTATTCTAGTGAATTTTTTTTTTATTGCAATCGAAAAATCTTGTAAAATAGATTTAAACCGTTTGGACAACCACAAGATTTTACTAGATTTTTAAATTGAAATAAAAAATTATGTAGCCTTAAAACAAAAGTTACCCAAAAAAAAATTCAAGTTAGACTTGATTTTTTTTTATTTTATGAAAGTGCGGCTCTCTCACCCCGTGCAAACCTGACCCAACAACCAACACCGTCAAACCTCAAAAACCCCAAATCTACTATCTATCTCTACCTCATAAACCCCAAATCTACTATCTCTTTTTCAACGTCAGAAACCCCAAATCTACTCTCTCTCTACCTCAAAAACCCCAAACCTATTATCTCTCTCTAAAGTGCGTCTACTCGAAGATGAGAGAAGAAGAACAACAATGACATGAGCTTAGGTCTCTTGTTAAGGGGAGAAGAGAAGAGGGAAGTAAGGAGATCCTTAATTTACCATTAGGGTTTGCTAGCTTGGGTCTCTTGTTAAAAGGGAGAAGAGAAGAGGGAAGCAATAAGATAGTTAATTCACCATTACAGTTTGCTCCATTCTTTTGCTCATGGATTTATGGTTGCATCAAGGTTAGAGGGAGAAACACGCAACAAGGTGAGAGAGAGCATTAATTGCTTAGTTATCCCCTTCTTGTTGAGGGAGAGAAACGCATAGAGAAAAATAGACTTCAACACCCAAACCGCTTTATAGGAAAAGAAAAAAGGCTTGGTATTTTTTGCAATTGGTTTTTGAAAAACTGTATTTTTATTGGATAACAATTTATTTTTATTTGACATTCAAACTAGCCCTAAACTGTTTCCATTAAAAAATGCTTTTCTACAAGAGCGGTGTTGTCGTAATGCAAATATAATTCCAAGGTCTGGAGTAAACTGCATGTGATACAAGAAGGAAATTGCATTTGAAAGATGTGTAAAGTAATATAGGAAATGCATGTAATGTTACCATTTATTTTTGATACAAGGAGGTCACAATAACTCTTGTCCATCAAATTCTAAATCGGGTGGTTGTAAGAGTGGATTGGTATTGATTAGACTAAAAACTCAAAAAAAAAGAAGAAAAAAAGTCTCGAATTTCATAACAAGCCATTTAATTTGACATCTAATGGCTAGGAATAATTGTGATCTTCTTACAACAAAGATAAAAGGTCTCATAGTATGCAATTCGAATAATATATTTCGATGGAAAATTAGAAATATTTCTATACTTCTCCTACAACATAGAAGATCTATGCTCTCCCTGCCATCCAGCTGTCCAATTTTGATCAAGAGAGCCACTCACCGTTTAATCTTAGATCCGATGTCTCAATGTATTTTATTTTTAGCTTTTTTTTATACAAATTGTATGAATATGAAATTTGGTACCTGCCATTTTCTCATTGAGGTGCACCTATAAAAAAAAATTAAAAATAATTTTTCGATAAAATATAATAACCAAAATACCCCTTGAAACTTTTAAGGGTATTTTGGTCATTTTATTTTATTGAAAATATTTTTTTTTATATTTTTCACTAGTGAGAGTTTAATAGAGGATTGGACATCCAAAATTTCGTATCAAAATAATTTATATAAAAAAAAATTAAAAATAAAATAGTGTAAAGACGTGACATTGTGATTGGGGCAATCTTAGCCCTCCATTAAGAATGGAGGGTTGGATAAGATGAAGTACAAAAGGTTTATGCTGTAGGGAAAGCATAAAAAACTTGCCCATGAGTTACATAAAGAAAAACAAAGAGAGGTAACATATGCCACACTTTATGAATTCTGTGTGTATGTGTGTATGAATGCTTGAAAGTAAAACAAATAGTCCGGATTATAATGTTTTGTTTTTTGATTTTTTTTCTTCAAGTCAAATACCTTGAAAATTTGGGTGTCCACAAACCTTAATCAAGTATACCTAAAATAAATATAAAAAGTTGATTTGCAAAAAATTAAACTGATCAAAATGCCCGTAAAACATTCAAGGCAAGGGTATTTTGATCAATTTTTTTTATTTTTTGTTTTTAGATTTTAGATAGACCTAGATATGGCACAAATACCTTCAAAATTTCATGTTAATCTCAATAGTAGAAAAAATAAAAATAAAAAATTATATTCAATCATGGTCATCCATGTTTTTCACTTGTAATCTGGGAGAGAATTAATTTGATGTTAAGAAGCGAAGTTAGCTTCACCTCATTCGTTCTAAGAGAAGAATTGACAGAAGGAAATTTAATTGAAAGAAGGAAATTTATTGAAAGAAAGAAATGTATGGAATGAGATGATTTGTTTTTGATACAAGGAGGAGGTCATAATCATTGTTGACCGCTAGATTTAAAATCGGGTGTTTAAGGATGTGTTATTGTTTAGGCACAATGTTCAAAACAAAATTTCTCGAATCTTGTGTGATACACATTTATCTATTTAGAATGTGACGTAATTGTGACGTCCTTATACAAAAACTCTTATACAAAAACTAAATGATCTCATAGTATACAATCTCTTGAAAGGAATTTAATCTGAACAAGAATTGATAACATAAACCATATCCATGCAATCTAGCACTATGGACCTACAAAATTTAATATTGGATGTAGTTTCTATGGGGCCTAGACTTTATGCAGATAAAGTAAAGCTTTACCCCCTAATCTTCATCCAAAAAGCACTTTGGGCATTGGAAATTTTCATGATAGTTCTAAAATCAATTTTCAACACAAAAAATGGTGCAAATCCGATTTTTAGGGTGAAATAGATGGCCTAAATAATTTGTTACAATATACACTTTTTAGGGATTGAAATCCTATTTTTTTTCACAACCATAATGGTCGAGGTCGAGATGAACGATTTGAAGGTTTTGCGATGCCATATTTGCAATTTCCATTGACTTTTGATAGGGCTGCACCCCTATCAAACCCTTTTCCTTTAATTTATGATTGATTTCCGGACCATTCCAGGTAAATAACGAAATAAAAAGATAACAATTCACATGCATCCATTTTTCTCAGTAATAAAAAAAAAAAAAACAAGTGAAAAAGAACATGTGGCAAAAAAAAAAAAATCATCGATACAGGCAGGTAGGTTATAATGCAAACCACAAAAAAGAAAAGAAATAGATACTTACAATTATCAATAACTAAAATTGAGTTAATCCATCAAATACAAGAACCTCATCACTAAATAAAAAAACAGGTAGGTTATAATGCAAACCACAAAAAGAAAAGAAATAGATACTTACAATTATCAATAACTAAAATTGAGTTATTCCATCAAATACAAGAACCTCAGCACTAAAGAAAAAATAAATAAAAAAAGAAAAACAAAGAATATAAGAATGCCCAAGAAAGAAGAAAGCCAAAGAAATTTCTTAATCTTCCTTGATCGATTTATGGGCTCTCAAGTGGTTCACGAAAACTTCTAGAGAGCTACAAACTAGTCCACATATCATGCACGTGTGAGAAAACCTCATTCTCTCCTTTTCCATCTTCTTTTCCTGCGAGGGAGGCGAATTCGCGGTTGAAATCGCAGTCGAAAGAAGATCTCGGTGATATTGCAGTCGAAAATCAAAGCATCTCTTTCGAAGACTGCTGCATGTTACAAATGGCCATGGCTAAACTTACAGGGTCTGAGACTGCTGGATGAGGAGAGAATGGAGAAGAGAGAAAAGCTTGGGAGAGATAGAGAGGGAGACAGTTGCAGTCGTATCTATATCTTCCTATAAATCCATATAAACAAGGAATTCGCTATAATTTTAAAATTTTTTTTGTACCCAAAAAAAACGACTTATCTAAAGTCTTTTCTCTCAAGAAAGTATACAAGACGTGCCCAAAGGACCATGTTATAGATATTGTATTTATCTTTTGAATCCTCTAGAAGAACCCAAATCCCGATCAGTCGCATAATAATAATAAATGCATAATAAATGCTAAAAGATATAATTAATTATTTCTGAGTTTTTCCTAAATTAACCAATATCTTAATATCAAAAGATACTAGAATTCTTGATTCAATTTTTTTTTTTTTTCCAAAATAACAAATATCTCAATTCCAGAATCTTTTATCAAGTTAGATAAAGTATATCACAAATTTCATAATTTTCAAGATAAATGCACCTCATCGCAAACTAATTTGAATTGCATCATGAACAACATATGTAATTCAAGTAAATTTTGCATTCACAACCTTTCTTAGTATTTTTTTAAAAAACTATAAATTTATGTAAAAGTTTAAATTTTTAAATTTTTTGAGCATAAATTTAAGAAAGCAAATTTTAAAATTTTAACCATTAAATATAAATGGGTGAGGTTTATAGAAGATGCTCACTTTATACTATACAAGTAAGTTGCACCTCTAAATTTTGGGTGAAGATGTAGTTCTGGTGTCATAAACCTTATGATGACTTGAAAATCCACATTCGAGATTTCAAATTCTAAAAATATAAAATAATATTTAAAATTATACTTAAGTTCTATATTTCTATAGTGAACATTATATTTGAATTTTATTATTTTTTATATATCCAATTAAGCTCAAATTTCGGCATCCACACTTCTCATTACAACACACTTGTAAAAAATATAACAAAATTTAATAACTATGTTTAAAATACCTCTACAAATTTCAAAATTTAAAGATATTTTGGTTATTTTAATTTTAAAATATTTTCAATATAAATATGAGCTGGTAAAAATAAAATAAAATAAAAAATTAGAAGAAAATTTATCAAAATACACTTCAACATTTCAACTATTCCAAGTCAGCTCTGGCATATTTTTTATAGCCTTTTTGAAATTAAAATAATAATAATAAATATGTTTAATAATTCTTCTTCAAGCAAAATAGACGATCTAGATAGTTTGTGACAATATACATTATTTTTAGAGCTTGAAATTTTAATTTTTTTTTCGCAATCATAACTCATCGTCAAATGTATTTTTTTATGGATGAGGTTTCTATAAGGCCTAGGCTTTATAAAAACAAATAAAGCCTCACCTCAACTCCTCATTCAGCAAGTACCTTCAGTGACAAAAATCTCTGTGATGGATCTAAAATCAATTTCCAACACCGACAATAAAATTTGAAACTCTCTTGTGGATCTGTGGACACTTATTTTTAAAGTAAAATAGACAGTCTAGACAGTTTTTACAATATACGCTATTTTTAGAAATTAAAGTCCTAATATTTTTGACAACTATAGTAAAATGTTCAAGTATAGGTTTTCAAATCTTGACTTATAGTTTTCAATGAGTTGTAAAGTGAGGATTTACTTATTTTAATGGGTTGCAGCCCTACCAAATCATTTTTTTTATTATAATTATTTTAGAATTATATACCATGTATTTATCTGATATACAATTGATTATAGCAATTACATGTAAAAATGTATGGTTTGGGACAACATTTGAAAAAATCAGCTTTCAAATCGAAATCCGGCGATATCAATCCGACCGATTCAGATGAGATATTTTATGGGATCTTCAAGTCTAGTCAATGACACACTCTTAACCATTTAGATCTGAACTCTGATGAATAAGGATTTCTGTGAGAACCAAGAAATTATTCAATACTTCGGTTTGCCCTTCCAGTTTCCCGTCAAGTATTAGCGCCATCTCATTATTCTCTCACCCCTCTGATTTGATCGCATTAATGGGAACAAGCAAACAAATATTAGGCCTTCACTCTCAGGTCCGAGGGTAATCAGACCTGCACAAACTTTACAGAGAAAATCTCTTCAGGTTAGTCTCTTTATGTCCTACTTTCTCTCACATAAACCAGATTCAAGTAACCCATAGAAGATTCTAGAGAGGGATTCTATTGGCTTGACCCTGTTTCTCTCTCTGCAAAACTTTGTGAAATTTACATCTGGGAAGCCCTTGATCGGGCCTAATGTTCTCTCTAGACAAAATGATGAATTACCCCCTTGGGTACCTCATTTCACCTCATTTCCATTTCCTCGTCCTGTTTTTCTCACTAGAAAGCCCATGAATTTCCCACATTTCCCTGAACCATTTCATATTTTCTGTAATGATCACTAAACCTTTTTCACAACCATTATTTTCCAAAAATTCAAACACCTCGTGTCTCTGAAACCTTCAATCTCGCTCTAGAATATAAATTCCCTTCAGTTTGAATCTTGAATTCCTGTTTTTTTAACGCATTCAATGCCAGTATGCACCAGTCATTTGGGCAATCAAGTCCCAAAGCCTTTCGTGCCTACCCCAAAGGGGACATCGATTTAGAATCTGGAACCCTTAAAAGAATTCGCCGACAGAAGAATTCACAGCCAGGGCTTCTCAAAATGGTAAAAAATATTAAAAACCATCTACACTATCTCTTCAAGCTCCACCCCTTTGCAGCTTTCATCTTCTCTTTATTTATAGGAATCACAATTCTCATATTCCTTGCAGTCTTTGAAAACCGATTTCGACCAATGGGTTTCCCAAGAAAATTCGATAGAGTCTCTGTAAATTATTATCCTTATTCGAAACTTAGAAATCTAGTAATGGTGGCTGGACATTCGGTTTATACAAGTAGTAGCTGTGAAAAGCCTGATGGAGAAGGGTCTTGGTTTTTGGAGTCATATCAAAAACATCCAGGTCAAGCTGCAACATTTTTGCAGCATATAAAGGAGGGAATTGAGGTCACGTCAAAAGATGATGAGGCCTTGCTCATGTTTAGTGGGGGAGAGACTAGGAGAGATGCAGGCCCCAGAAGTGAGGCTCAGAGTTATTGGAGTGTTGCTGAATCAAAAGGATGGTTTGGTGAGTTTCTCTTTCGTTGTAGGGATTTCACTTGTTATTGTCGTTTTGGTTCAAGAAATGCTTGGTAGGCATGATTTGATGAGATTTTTGCGCAATTATTTGAGGCTTTGATGATTGCTATTGTTAACTGGAAAAAACAAATATTTTTTCTTTAGCTAGAGAGATCCAGCAAGAACCTCGGAGTGGGTGTTTAGATTTTCAAAATTTTGCCATTGTAGAGGATAGCTAAATTCATGCATTACTGGTTTGTACCATGGGTTTTGTACAATGGATTTTGTAAAATGTCGTCATTGGTAATGAAGGTGAAGGTGATTTGTTGTAGCAGTTCAATCATTAAAATTCTAGTTTTTATTGTTCTAATGGTTCTATTTTGGGTGTCGAGTTAATTACACTTTTTAGATTTTATGTCCCTAATCGTAGTAAGATAAACCAAGAGAGGAATCGGGGACTAAACGTAAGTAACAGTAGATTATCGTTAATTATGGACATGAACCATGTAAATGAGTGACTCAGTGATTGCTATTTTGTGATGTTGAATGCACATGATCAAATAATTGAGTGCTGAAAGTTTGATAAACTAGAACCATGTTTGAACTTTGATAATTGTTGCTCAATATGTTCATTAAAAAATGTTTGGTTCTAAATTTTATGGGAGGTAGATATGGGTTTGGATGTAGGTCCAACATTTCTATACTATATATAAATTCATGTTTATTTTTCCTTTCAGTATTTTATGGTATATATAGACCACATTTATACTACTTTGTGGTTGACAATTTTTGGTGAAGCTTGCTTAGCAAGGCTGTGCTTACTCTGTGACTTTAGAATTGAGTTTTTTTTAATGATATATCTCATCAAAATTTTCTATCCTACCATCACACTCTTCCTTTGATGTATGTCATTGGATAGTGTCTTTAGTATTTCATTATGCTCTTTACATGTTAAACATAAGTTTCTAGTACAAACCCTCAAAATCAGTAAACAATAAAGTCAGCTTTTCCTTGGACTATTTCTTTTAATCATAAATTTGGGTGTGATCCATGACTTAGATGGTTAAATGCAATATGATTTGGTTATGAAATGAAAAATCAAAAGTGGAAGCTCAGTAATGTGTTTTCTAGTCTGATGATCGTCATGATCATGCATTGTTTGTAATTGTGCACCTGGAGCATGTGTGTGTGTGCACTTACAATTTTGCACATGGACACTTGAACTAGTTTTATCTGTTTGGTTTCAATTTGAGACACGTCAACGAATTTGACATTAGTTCATTTTAAAGATATTGTTTATACATTGCTCTGGTATGTGAAGAAGCATACATCTTCTCTGCCTTTTGCTTTCATTTGTCTCCATAAAATTAGAAATCCTTACCAACCTTGGAGTCGAGTAACTCATCAAAATACATTTCAAATACATTCCCATCTACCAGTTTTATTTTTAAAATTTTCCAGCATCTTTCTTTCTGAAGGACATTGATTCAAGTGGGTCATCCCTAGATTGATGACTGGTGTGTTGGTAGGTTGGAGTTCGGCTACCTTCCACAATAGACGTTGGATCTTGTGGTAATTGTCTGTGTTAATCTATTTTAGGCACTTAGATGGAGAAGAGTAACAAGTTGTTTAGGGGTGAGAGAATTTGCGTCAGTTTTTTAAGGGAGTAACTTAGAGGATGGTTATTTCCTAGGTCCATGCACATCTTGAGTTTCTGAGACCATCCATGACAAACCATGTGAGTGGGTGGGTATAGATAATGTATTCTCGTATGATGGTTCAGATCCCTATTGTGAGGAAAGTTCTTGGAGTAAGCCAGGACAAGTTGGCGTGGAAGGGACTCAGAGAAACTCTCAAGGGAGACAATTATGCCGCTTTGTGGGACTCTGGAAATACATATGACTATACCTGAGACAGGAAATCTACTCTCTGGGATCTGGATTTGACTCTTAGATGTCCCCTACTTCCCATTGGTTGTGGTGGAGATAGTTCAAATGTGATTAGATGGGCATGTTTGGGGACCCCAAGCCCCTGGTAGGCTGCAAAACTTTGACGGAAGTTTTTGAGCTAGGTAAGAGCTATAGCTCCTAACTATACTGTTTAACCTCGTGTGATAAGGATGCATACATTACATATGAGAAATGTCCAATGAATTAAACATTGCTTTTGCAGGAACCTACTAAAGGCAATCAGAAAATTACATTGAATCATGCAGTTTTTTTACTTTCATGACCAGGAATTCACATTTAGGGAAAATATCCTATTATCCCCTATTTTGAACTGCTATACCTCATCAGACTCAAGAATTGAAAATATTACTTGTAAGAAAAAAGACTCCATCTTTTCTATCTTCC